AGTGTTTTCAACAGCATGAAGATGAGACGAACCCTTGACTGGCCACTGGGAGTAAAACGAATGGAATGTTGTTTAAACCAATTATAATAATGGCATCTGTTGACGCGCACGGTCCATTCCGCCGCCTGGTGCTATCGCGCTGGTGTGAAATAATCAACCATTCAGCAAAAGCAGACATAGGCCTCCTAAAAAATGGACGGGGTGTCTGCTTGGCTTATCCGTCCTCAGTCTCATATTATTTACGACAACTGTTTGTTCACCTGCTGTAAAAAGAAGTACCTAGCTGGTTCACACGCAAGGTCATGACTTAAGACAGCCAATGAGTGCGGGATAAACACCCATAATATGACCATCAGCCGACAGCCCACATAAAAACATACAGTACTACCAATGTTGTCCTCCATGGTTCTGACTGTTCTATTTCCTCTCGATGGCGGTCTGTCAAATTCTGCAGCGTTTAATCCTGTCATGCCATTTTTGGGCTACTTGATGCGGACTTTGGGCCAGCCTGATGGTCTGGTATTTATTCTTCATAGATAGAATCATATTTTTCTAGTCGTCCTGTCTTGGAGAACCCTAGGTCTCAAGAAATCCCAAACGGTGATAATGTCGCAAAACAACGTTTATTATATGGAATGCGATAAGTAAATACTTTCGACAATTTTGAAGTAATCCGGGACAGCCTAGTAATGCTAGTTATCCCCTAACGGGAAGCATTTTACACACGGGAACGATAAAATTAAAGACTAGCAGGCTTTCTTTGCATGTTTGCTTGGCTGTAGGATATTGTTCATGTGCAAAAGTAGATGATTTGTTGGTTGCATGGTCATCTGACTTGTGTGATATCCAATGGCTCGTACATTAACAACAGGAACTATGCATGCACGACGGACCAATCACAAATTGAAGAACTGCTGTACCATTGGAACCTGCATTTATAATGGTTATTTTTTCCCCAGCACAAACCCACATGCTGACTGACTACAAAAACCGTCCCGACTGAAGTAATCCTACTGTTCTAACAGTGACAGACACTTATGATTTCATATATATCCGCAGGATTTAAGCATACTAAACAGGCATAAGATTGCTCTGTGTACTATTGGGCTGTCGGTCGGAAACATCGCGAATGGACGCGAGCACTTATCAAAGACATGCAGGGAACCGGAGCGGTCTTGTTAACCTTCTCAGTGATTCACAGAGTTTCGTCAACCAGATGACACTGCAGCCACTTAACACGGAAATTGTGAGTAAAAGGAGTACCACTTCAGTCATGGTAAGTCTGACCGCCGGGACGTGAAACTGTCCAAAAATCCCTTTGTTTTTGACTTCCTGCAAAGAGGATAGATTGGGCAGTCACACTAAATGACTAAAAATGACAGGAGACTAACGTCCTGCAGGGACGAATAAAATCCCCAGAGACCAATGAAGCAATAACTCGACATTTCAAAAGACACTTCTAACCATCCAGCCACGGCGAGCGCATAGCAGAGAAAACTATGCCAGAGATGTAAATAGTCCTTCAACCTAATCGACTTTGCTTTTGATTGTCTGTTGGACGAACTGGTAATGTCGCCAAACTTCGAAAAACAAACCTTTATAGCAAAGGCAGTTTACAGCCTGAAGCACTGTAGTAGAGACGTGGTTTTCGCGTCTGTCAGGCTAGTAAATCGCCACACTTCCATCGGTTTCATACCACACATACCGTGATGGGTTCCGGTACAGACACAAAGGCGAGGTTTAGGAAGCAGTATAAGAGAAAGCTAGGAAATATTTGGGAGAAGTAATTTCGAATCTCTATCGGAACGCATCCTCGTGGAAGCATGGCAGTTGCAACCAAAAGCACTGGCAGTCAAACTATCGTCTCCGACGATGTCCACTGTGTGCCACACAGCAAGGTGGAGCAGGGCCGGTGACTTGCGCGTGAGTTAGTTTGTAGTAATAGTAGACTTGCGCTGCATCTACCGCACTCCCTCCTCCCCCACCTGGTCCCAGTGTCAAGACAGAGTCAAAAAGACCGGAGGCGTGGGAGGGCGCAGGTGGATGACTCGGTAGAGCCCGCACCTTGGCGCTCCACTCCGCATCCCCTGGTCCACACAGAAAATGACCAGGATTTTTTAACCAACAACAACAACAACAATAGCAGGTGGTCTGGCAGGGCAGAAGCCGCACCTAGGCGTACCGTCACACCTGGCTCAGATCCCACAGAGCGGGAGTGCCATAAAGGCCACATTAAGAAGGAGTCATTGCAGCCTGACTTCTAGACCATCAGCCGGCCACTAAACACAACACACAACACTGGGACGACTGCGAGGTCCAAGTTATCCCGTCAGTTGGCAACCTTCCAAGCCAGGTTTTTTAGCGCAACTTGATAGCTTCAAGCGCGTCAGGCTGTTTAAAGTGAGGAAAATGCGTGAGACGTCGACCTCGCTCTCCCTTCCCACTCCCAGACCATAGTCACTGTCCGAGCTGGTCAGTAGACTGGTGCGAAGAATGGGCGCAATGGCTTACATATCTAGTAGCTTTGTCTGCGCACGCCACATGCACGACCTGGCTCCCCAAATACAAGCGTCAGGATTTCACACAATGAGGAGCGTATCTCTCACATGCGTGAGAGTGCCGGTGGTCACGTTAAGAATAAACCGTTTCGGCCTGGCTCTCAGCCCATCAGTCCGCCAATCCACACAAACACACAACTGGACAGACTGCGTGGACTGAGTCGGGGCGTCAATCAGCAGCCTTCCAAACCACAGCACTTGACGCGCCGTGACAGTCTGAGACTCAAGACACCCATTCAGCAAGGGAGCCGCATGAAGACGGAACCGAAACGCGCACTTCCCACTTGCGTGGGAAGTGGTAGTTGGATGCTCGTGGTGGGTGATGATGTTGCGTGATGCAGGTGTTGGTGGGGAAGGTGTGGTGGTGTGGTGTAGCCGGCGGTTGTCTACCGCAGGTTTTCGTGAATGCGCATGTGACCTAATAGGTCCATGCGTCTGGTGAATGTGCGTTAAGGAGATGACTCACATGTCACAATGTCCAGCTGAAATTAATAATCTTAGAGGACGGATTATTTCGCTTTTGGCAACTCAAGAAATGGAAATTTTGGTAATACGTGACCTGTCTTTCCGTATTTAACAACAGTTTCAAACCTAGTTGATACACATCGACTGAACGCACTGCAGTATTTGCTTCATTTACTATAAAGAGACAAGCATGGCCCCGCGTGAACGAGTGACCAAGATTCACCATGTGCTTAACGAACAGTAACATGACTGAATGGCATTACCGACAAAGACAAGAAACTGGAATGGCCTTTTTGTGACTTATTAGCCATAGTGAGGCAGGATTTTCTATCAGAAAGCTCACTTCGGGATACAGTCTACGGATTTACGAGCTCTGGTGTCTTCTGCGCGGCCTTTAAAGGACTCCTTATGACTGCCCATCTTCTCACATTATCTTTGATTGGAGGTAACGACATTCCGGAAGAGGTTAAGCAGTTACCTTCGGCAAAAAATTGTGTGCAGCGCGGCCCGGCAGTGCACTCTTGAGGCTCATGAATCCTAGCGTTCAGAATACGGTCAGAATTTGTACTGGCGGGTGCAGGTAAACACGTGCGCGTGGGAGTGCTCTGGCTCTGGCCTCAAGCTGTGAGCCCGCATGTGAAAATGATGCCCAAACCAAGTTCAGCTCTTCGGGACGACGCGGATGCTGATTTGGCTGAGGCGGAGTTTCACCAGCGAATGAATTAAACCAAGGGCGTGGCACTGAGCAAGCAAACGTTTACGCGGAAGACAGCAGGGCGAACTAACCTCCGCCGTTGCCCTCCGCTCTGTTTCCTGGTTGTTTGTCTTCTTGGTCCCTATCATCCACGTTGCTTCATAGTTACCCCTTCTCATCCTTCGCGTCGTAGTCGTATTTTTCTATCTTGCGGTGCCCTGCCCCATATCCCCTCCTCCTACTCCTCCCCCTCTTCCTCGTATTTCTTTGGTAGTGAGGTGAAAATAGTTGGGTATGTTGAATGCGGCTAGATCGGCTCGCACTGAACGCTTTCGATACTGATAATGTCACACTGCGCACGAAAACATATTCACAGGTTGTATCCAAACTCGTTTCATGCTTCGAAACTAAAGGTGACTAGGTTGACCCGGCCAAGGTCCTCAGTTAATTGAGCCCCGGTAGTTGCCATTTGATGGTCAATTATATATGCAAGTCCAAGGAGCAGATGTTGCCAATTTACTGTCATCAGTTTCAAAGTCATACCAGGAAAATACTCCCTCATATTGTCAAAAAGCACACTGTTTGAAGTTGGGCTTCATCCAGGTTCCCTGGAAGGATGTGACATTACAGTACAAAGTACACCGCTACAAAACAGGTAATTCATGTCATTTAGTCAGTGGCGTGCGTTCTTCAAGAAATCACGACCCCAACCACATCGAGATCAAACATCAACCCCTACTTTCTGAACTTTAGAACTTCGTAAGCCCGAAAAAAACTCTCGGAATCATGTTTCACCCCCTCACCCTCTCCTGGCGATCCCACGTGGATATTCTGTCCGTCGTATGGTCAAGACACTGCCACTAAAAAAAGGTGACATCAAAGTGAGTGAGAGGGCTGAAGAACAACAGGTGTCTCAGTGTTTAATATATAGACACACACGCACCCTTACACGTGTATTCAGACAGCAAACGTATACTTGTGAAATGCAAATCACTCTAATTTCAACAGAGTCCGCCGTTTTTACCAGGCACCGCTCTCCAAGGTCGGCATCATGGAAGCAGGATTGAGACGGCGGAGGTAGATGCAGGTCCGAAAAAGAGGCTCACTTCATGGTAGACGAAAATAGATCTTGATCGGGAAGACTGTGAACGCTGTTCGACGGGGCCGCAATGAGTGAAAATGGGAGGATAATAATAGTAAAAGCAAGCTGAGGATGCCGTGGGGGGGGGGGGGGTTGAAGGTGAGAAAGACGGTGAATAGTCTGCGCGAAGATCTTACGGAGCTCAAGGACGTCGAGGCGCTGGAGCTGCATAAAGGGGTATAAAATACGTTATTAAAGTTCTACAGATGTGAGAATTTTTTAAAGACGAATGTGAAAACCATCCAAAGCGTAGATAGCGGCCTAGTGTCGTAGCGGTGAGCGCAAAGTTGACCGCAGACGTTGACTTATGACATAACTGGTCTGCTGATTTGAGGAATCTAGGAAGGTCACATGGGTTATCAATTAAAATTTACCAGAGTACAACGTTCCTCATACGGTTAGAAGTTCAAAAAATAAAGGTCTGTACGCTGCATTGCAGGTCTAACCAGAGAAAACCGCTAGATACGCACTTAGTCCTGCAGAACCCGATAAAAAACTCTTCAAATATGTGACTTCTAAGAGCACGAGTCTCACGAGAATAAGTGTGTCAGCCGACAGTTGGCATATATCCACCGAGCGGATGCATTGCAGACGGTAATTTCTAAAAAAATATCATTTCTAAAAGTCCCTTCCAGCAAAGGCAACTGATACGATTCACTGCTGGTATAGCGTCAATCCTTCTTGTTTTAAGCTCATAATGGTTTGGCGGCAGTCATAACTCTACGAAACAGTTATTTCATTATCTTCTAACTAAAAATGTGAGCCCTGAGAGCGAGTCAGCAGATTTCAATAATACTGTTGCTGCATAAGGAGTTGCGGCTATAATGGCGCTCAAAGTGACAAGAGCATAATTGTATCCGCATACAATGAAGTGGAGTGAGCGGAGGTTGTATCTAGATTGGATAAAAGGACGCCTACGATCTTCGTTTCCCTTGTACATCAAGTTCAAAGTTAAGAGCTAAAACAACAAGTCGTTTAGACTTGGGTTTGAGATGGGCTGCGATGACGCTAATAAAGCCAAAAACAGGCATTCCGTCCTCATTTGTGTGGTCAATGGAATTAATGGATTTTCGACCGTGTGCCTTTGAGAGTTAATTAGAAATGTCGTCCGGTATGTGGACCTTTTCTGCGAGAACGTTGGTTCTCTACCACAAAAACACGCGCACGACGATACAAAGAAGGCCAAATACTTGTAATCAGATTGAAATCTAGTGAAAAACCTCTTGTTCGTCTTGCCGCTTTTTAGCTATTCATATAAAACATGCGGTAGTTTTTAACTCCAAGCCTCAGTAACGGTACCCGTTTGAGTCTGACATACGCTCCTCGTTGTCCCAATTTCTAGCTCACAGAAAAACGCAACTTTACTCCCCAGAAAGCGAAGCATGAAAATTACTTAGGAAGCCCGCAAACTTCCACTCGTCGTCTAACGGTAGTACTTGCTTGAACTGGTTCTTCATCAGTCCTTCCGTACAAAATAAAGCCCCGTCCACACGTATGTCCTCTTCCCGCTTACCACCAGTCCGACGTTGATTTCGACAATGTCTACCCTTTGCTCCACAGCAGGGTGATGACAGGGACGGTGGCTTACGCCTGAATTAGTTTAAAGTGATAGTAGACTTGAGTATCATCTACCACAGTCTCTCCACTCCCCCAATCTGGATCCGGTGTTTCAACCAAGTCAAGAAGACCGGAGGCGGGAGAGGCCGCAGGTGGCCGGCACGGCAAAAACCCGCACCTAGACGTACCACCACACGCTCTGGTCCACAATGGACACTAACCAGGACTTTATAACACAAATAGGGGGCGGCACGAATCCCAATGTGCGTGACGAGAGCAGCCAACTGGACCTGCCGCCACAGTCCTCTGTATGGCCACGCATTACCGATAACGCCTGCCTTCCGTCTGCTACCGGAGGGGACTTGACACGTAGGTGTAGTGACTGAGCTAACCCAAATACTTTGTCCTCCAAAAAATTGAGTTTACCAGGCCTTTAGGTGAATGTGTGGACGAGTGGCGGACAAAGCAACGACGTCGTAGAAACCAAAAGACAGTTTCGAACGCGGATGGCCGAACACGTTGCAGCGGTGCGGAGAAATGACGCCAGCTCTCAAGTTGCGCCTCATTCGACGAAATTCGGCCATAAATTCAGATTTGACGAGGCCGAAATTCTCGCAAGAGGTGACAACCGCGTAAGCCGAGAGCCGCTTGAGTCATGGTTTACTGGCCCCCAGTCCATTAACAAGTGTAATGACCTTCCCCTTCCATGCTCGGTTCTGAGATTTCGCCTGGATGGAATAATTGGCCACGCGGGGAGCGCACAGGCGAACACATCTCCCAACGCCAGGTCGGTGGGTCAGGTGGTCCAGCAATCATCACACCAACATCCAACGCACGTGATGAAATTGCAGCAATTAACGACTCGATTGTCGGCCATCACACCACGTGCAACGATCCCTGATGAAGGGGGAGCCGTGAATATTCATAGGTATGCGGTAACATAGCGGCTGGATCCTATAAATACTTCAGCCCCTTATGCATGAACCACCCGTATCTGCCTTTGCCTCTGATGATCGATTCGAGCGGGAATCCGAAACGTCAGGCTAGTAAAGCTCTTGTCGCAGCGATCATGTCTCCTTCTTTAGGACGTGTCTCTATTAATCCAAATGTACCGCCCTCCCCCCTCCCCCAACAGGCAGTGTTGCAGGTGCGCTGGACTAAAACGGCAGCCAGACTGCCTCACGGTATGCGTCTACGCGAGCCCATAACTACTGATACACGAGCGTGGGACATGACCCGTACGTAGACTGCGCTAGTCACCGCGCCTAACCCCAACACCAGCTGGTTACCCGGCTCGAACGGTGCATAGAAGGGGGAAGGGAGAGTGAGGAATTCATCCTCACGACACTTAAGCGCATTCCTCACTTATGACAAATCTGTCGCGCTTCAATCTATGACGACGCGTTAGGGGCTGTGGCTTGAAAGTCTGTCAATTGACAGGATAATTCAGTTAATCTAGGGAACACCCATTGATGTGCGACCCAAGCCTGCTACATGTAGACATCGATTTATCGATCTGGCGCCGGCGAGCAGAGCCCTGCGTAGTCACCTCCAGTCTTGCGCCGCCGGTCGATGATTAGCTTACATGCCTTATAACTGTCGCTTGTTCTGTTGCTGACGATGGACTCCTGTACGAGTCTGAAAGATCAGGACAATAAACGAAGTGTTCCGGTGCTCGGCACTTCTTATTCTTCACTTATGCATACACCTGGAACTCGAAATTTCACCTTCATTCGTGTTTCCACCTTGTCTACACCCCCAGTTACCTATGATTAATGCATAAAGAACCAAGGTTAGTAAGCACGTTCGACTTATCAAGGCGTAATGGAACATCCGAGAAAGTGGTCGCGCCTTTTAGGGTTTATTCAATGGGCTGGTGGAGTTCATTGTGCTGACCTGGGTTCGGGACCGTGCAGAACCACTTCCGCTGCGCCAGAGCATGCTTCCCCATTTTTAGGTCGCAGCCTAGTGTCAGGCAGTCAGCGATGGGCAGGTATCCCCACAAAGCCACCTTGACTCCAAACGAAAACAAAGTTCTGAACTATCTGCTGTCCCTGACAAGTCAATCGCATCCCCGCGAGGGTATTAAACAGGGCTCATGATTCAATCAGGAAAGGGTGCACACCAATCTATTGACTTCACGAAGCAAACAAGCTCTTTCCTGATCGAATAAATACCCGATCTGCAGCGACAGAGAATGACAGGTGGCGAGGCGCTGATGAACTTCGGTTCGATGAAGTGCTTATGACCCATCTGCTGCATGCAGACCACGCTAGTCACCGCGACTAAACCCATCACCAGCTAATTACCCCGCTCGAATGGTGCATAGAAGGGGGAAGAGAAAGAGTGAAACCAACATTAAGAAATTCATCCCCACGGCACTTATCCGCATTCTTCACTAATGACAAATCTGTCGCGCTTCAATCTATGACGACGCGTTAAGGGTAGTGGCTTGAAAGTCTGTCAATTGGCAGGATAATTCCGTTAATCTGGGGCACACCCATTTACGCGCGACCCAAGTCTGCTACATGTAGAAGGGCTAGGTCGTGTCGGGCGTGTGTAGATGCAGAAATGTACGACGCAGGAGAGCGTACGATTAATTCTGTGCAAGTCTGCTGTCACTATCAACTAATGGCAAACATATGATTTCTCACGAATGGAAGAGAATATGCGCATCCCAGGTTCTTGTTTAAAAGAAGGAGAAGGCACGATCACTGGGACAGAAGGTTTATTTGCCTGAGCTTTCGAACTCGAACTAGAGTTCATCATCAGAGGCTACTCGAGTGCAGCAAATTGTGAACATTTATATCGTTCATCCTTGCGGGTGGGGGGAGGGGGAGTACGTCCGTGGCTAGGTAGGGTTTGTGCCGCCTGGTCCACGATGTTCCCCCGGCGTGGTGACGCCGTTTGCACTTCGCGACGGTGTGAGCTGCGCCACCTGGCTGCGTGGGCGGAGCGCGTGATAACACGCAGGCAAATCGATGCGTCTGTTGATGGAGTTGGTGTCCGACACCCACGCCTCCAACAGCTCTCGCCCAGTCTTGTTGCCGGCTCGCGCCAATATCCGCGTGTTGGCGAAGTCAAACTCATGCCCTTCCTCGAGCGTGTGAGTGGCCACTTGAGACAGTGGGTCGCCTCTCCGAACGGCCCGTTTGTGCTCAAGTATTCGTGAGCTCAGACGTCGTCCTGTCTGGCCTGTGTAGTGACAAGGACAGTTTTGGCACGGGATTCGATAGACTACGCCCGACTGTTCACCAGCGTCCAGCCGATCCTTCATCTTCATGATCCTGCTACGCATGGTGGCCGCCGGATGATGAGCGATGCCCACGCCTAGCTCTGACGCGATGCGTTCTGTAGCCTCGGACACATTCTTTATGTACGGTAGGGAGTGCCAAATTGTTGGTGTCTCCCTTCCGTTTGTCCGGCGTGGGTGTGCGCGTATGCAGCGACTGATAAAGCTATTTGGGTAGCCGTTCTTTGTTAATTGGTCCCGGAGATGCCGTAGTTCACAATTTGCTGCACTCGAGTAGCCTCTGATGATGAACTCTAGTTCGAGTTCGAAAGCTCAGGCAAATAAACCTCCTGTCCCAGTGATCGTGCCTTCGCCTTCTTTTAAACATATGATTTCTGTCCGGAACTCGGGTGTTCGATGGGGTATTTAGTTGAGTCCAAATCGAGAGTACAAACATCCATAAGTTAGTGCTATTTTGTGACATAAGGTTTAATTACCCAAGAGCCCATGTTTGGAGTTCAGGCCACAAAGGTCAGGGGCTGGGTTATGGCTGGCAGACGACGGATTATAAGCCAGAATTGCCCAGTACAGTTTCACATATCCTTGTCGGCATCCGTCTAGATATAGTTACGACTCAGCAAAGTTTGTCGCAAAAGACTGCAGCAAAAGTGACAGGAGTTTCCTATCTCTCTGAAAAGCGTCGTTTCAGAGTGAAAAAAAGGTCTGTGCGTACGCATGCATTGGACTCTCAGTCTGCACCCGGGCAGAGCGAAAATGAAAATGCTGTCCGGTTTTAGGAAACGCGTGAGCGAGAAGCAGGGAAGAAGAGCTCACCTTTCCGGACTTCAGTCTGAGAGAGGAGGCTTCCCCTGCTGTCCGGTGACCTGCCACCAGTCAGGGAGGGCGGTACACTAACGGGCGACTGCAATTCCCGTTCGTGTGCCAGAAAGAGATCCAGACTGTCGTAGGGACTGCGCGGTGGAGGACTGAAGGTTCTTCTGGGAGAGGGAAGGAGGCCAGTCACTCCTCGTGGACGACCTTCACCCGAGTCGCTTATTGGTCGCCATACACCGTCTCGATCTAGACGACCTGTGGGCCTGCGAGCGTCCGCACTTCCTCCTCGAGCCGGGCCAACCGCGGATCGACCAGACGACGTGGAGTGCTCTGCTGGGATGTTGACGGGGGTGCGTAGAGAGGGTAAGACTACAGCCTGTTGCCCATTCCTGCGGCTCGGAACGGAGGGACTGGGGCTTGACAGAGAGGGCCAACCAGAGTCGGCTAAATTTCCTTTGCGGACCTTTGTGGAATTTCAAAGAGAGCAAGGTGGTCGATGAAAAAGCTAGCAAAGTGATTGATATCTTGTACTTTCGCAGCCTGATGCCTAAGCATTCAAACGACTATAAGTAATGCTATCAATAAGCAAGCAGAAATGAGAGAAACATTCAAGGACTATTGAGGGTGCATGAATAAGAGGGGCAATAGCTGGATCCAGAGCAGGAAACAAAGGCCACAATTTGTTCTTGAATGTACAGCGCAACATCGGAGACTAGGATGGGTACGTCCTCTCATCGCTCAAAACGGCTCACGAGAGGAATTCTGTCACCTAATCGAATAAGGAAATAAAACATAATGTTGACCGCCTTTTACTAGGAGACTGTGAGTAAGGTTAGGGGAAGCGGCTGTACAAACGAACCACTAGGGAGAATATGTCTTAAAAAGAAGGACCACAAGTCAACTGTCGGACGGGGAACTAGTTCATGACTTTTATGCTGGAGGGAATAGTGAAAAAGGCAAGGAAGACTGGCATAGGCATTTCTAGCTTATTGCCACAAGCCAGGCCCGAATGAGAGGGGATTCGAACCCGGAGTCTTGGCAAATTAGCGGTTTTCAATTCTCACTGTTGACCCATCGGTCGCGATCGGGACAGTTAACCATCGTGGGAAGTGCGTTCGCCAACCCGGTTAGGGAACATGCTCTTTCACTGGGTCTTGTGGCTCAAGCCAGGACCTTACAGGCAGTCGAAGAGCGGCCTGTAGTATATGCAGGAAGTAGCAGGCGGGCCAAACACGTCCAGTTACCTGATGGGTAAACGCGCTTCACCCGAGAACTGGTATCGATCGGCGGAAAACTGTTCATGACTTCGCCATTAGTGCCCATTCAATCCAAACATGGTGCGTGCACTTCAGTTTCTTTATGGGTAAAGGAAAACCCAATTAACTTATTGACTGATACACGATAGTCGCATATGGTGCCTTCGATGAGGCATGCAGTAGGTGGGCTAACTCATGAAATGTCAACAGAAATTGCGAAATACGCCTTTTTTCGAAAAGATTAATTAAGTAGGGTTGTTATACGAATCATCCTGCAGCATAATTATATAATAATTCAGTTACCTCAGGATACTGGCTTTGGAACAAGCGTCATTTTGGCTGCATTAAAACACCATACTCTGCAAAAATGGCCATTTAAGTAGCATGCCTTTTTCCATTGAGTTTCAATGCCCTTAAAGATTCAATAACATTTCATGGAAAACATGCATAAAAATATTCATTCCTTTAGATATTCAGTAAAAAAAACTACGTCTTCTTTTAATTTCATATTCGAAGGAATGGTATAATTCGGTTTTAAAAAGTTTCCAATTGTTAGATTTTTTAATACCGTGAAATGGCCCTTCATAAAACGTCATGTCACTGCACTTACCAATGTGGCTTGTAAAGTTAATAATGTGGCTCAAATCAACCACTTAATTTTATGAACCCTATATGGCCCCCCTTCATTGCCGTAGAGAAATGTGTCGTTTTCAGTACGCTGAAATTATATGGCTTGTAGTTTGGGAACCCTGAATGCAAGTATAACGGCAGGTTGGGTTCAAAATTATTCGGGAATTGAAAAAAGTATTATGAAACCAAATTATACCCTTCCCATGAGCGTAAACTTGAAAGAAGACAAAATTTTCCATTGAATGAGCGAAAGAATTTATATTTTTATGCATGTTTCCATGAAATATAATTCAACCTTTAAGGGCATCGAAAATCAATGAAAAAATGCATGCTACTTATGAAGCCATTTTTTGCGGGGTATGGGCTTTGGATGCAGCCAAAGTTTGTTCGAAAGCCGGCGTCCTGGAGTAACTGAATTATTACAGAATTATGTTGCACGATAATTGGTTTTAAAACTCAACTTAATTAGTCTTTTCGAAACGGAAACGCATTTCGAATTTCTGTTGAGATTTTTTGAGTTAGCCCACTTACTGTAGTTTATCGCACGTGGACGTCTTGATGCACCATCTCAGCACATCAGAATAAGCGCCTAGGACCATGTCCGAAGGTGGGGTTTAGACAACTTTGCCAACTTGCAGAGTTCGACGCGTCCCAATGCAGCTATGGTTTTTGATTTATTTCATAAGCAACTAATCCATCCGAACTGTCGAGAATGTTACCGCTTCATGGTCTGCACCCATTTATTTGTTAAAAGAGGCCGTTATTGTGCAGTGAGCCTGGAAGTAATCTGGGGGATTCCAGATTCATTGTTTCAGGAACCCTGCTTGGGCTATCAGCCTACTCTGTCAGAATAGGTGTTTAAACTGACGACTAGCCGTGGCGCATCGTAGCTCAGATGGCTTGAACGCTCGCTGTACTCAAGCCCTGCGTCTGCTGTCGTGGGTTCGAATCTAACCAAGGTCGCCGAGTTTTCCACAATGGAGTCGTCAAGTGAATTCTGCAGTTAGTTATTCGCTGGCGAGGACCAATTCACCCTTTGATGCGCACGGATTGGCCAGCAGCGAAACGACAAGGCAGGTGTTGCATACCTCGACGTTCTTGCTGTTTCGGCATGGTCACTTTGATATTTAGCCAAGTTAGTAAGGAGGCGAGGCCAGGGGCCAGTAAACGATGTTATCATACACCAGAAAGACCATCCAAACTCGCACAGCCATAACCATTACCACAACGCTGTCAACATAAGGGGACGGTCTGGCGGCGAGTAAACCACAAACTGAACTAAATTGCCACATAAAAGTGTCTCCACAGCGACAGAAATGGCTGGTTAGGGGCTCGGAGATGTGACATGAGATGCCGACAGCATAATTATAAGCATCCTTTTAGTGGGATATAAAGTAAAACGCCTCCTACAGACAATTTTCCCAGCGATACGCGTAGATTTAAAACTGCGCCATTATTCCATTAGTGTTGGGAGTTTTAGGGCTAGGCGGGAACATAGCCATCGAAATCAAGGAGTGCAATTTATGTTCGTAGGAATTTATCCAAATAAATTTAGACTATTTCGGGCAAAGTTATTTGGCGGAAAAGAAGGTGGGTAATAATATGAGAAAGAAAAAAACAGGCAAGATTGCCTGCGACACGGACCAGAGCGTCGACGCGGTTTAACTTCGATATGCCGTTTTATCTCAGTGTTAGGGTTCAAACGTTCTCGCAAAATTAAGAATATTTCAGCAACCAATGTCTTATCATTTATTTTATTCTGTAAGATGTGGTTATGTAGCCCCGCCTGATGGACACAATTCTGTTTGGTTTGGGGTAAGGGGTTATAGTTAGGGGTTAGGATAAGAGTTTAGGGTTAGCGGTTAGGGCAACTAATTCTCAACAACTCAAAGTACAACCGCGCATTCATAATAGCTTTTCTTTTGCATACAATTACTTGACCTCGTCGCCTGTGCGTTTACCAGCCCCACCCGTAAAAACTCCTATAACCACTGATTCCGTATTACAAGTGACTGGGTTTTTTTTACCTCAGGTTCGACTACATAAGCACATCTGACCTTTTTTTCTAAAATAATAAGTATTTCTAACCGCATACCATGCATTCATAAAAGTCAGCAATGGTCATGAGCCGAAATGGAATCGCTGAAATGGTTACTGAATACGGGTGCAAGCATTTCGATGCCAAATGCATTATTGTACAAAGTTGACCATAGTGATCAGTAGTTGAGCTAAGTAAGTTAAAATTTGCGACAGGGCGTTCCTAATACTACTACGGTACCAAAAGTGTGTAGAACTCACAAAATATACCGTAGGTGTGACCGTAAACATCACTAAGTATTCGCCGCTTCCATCGTGTGAAAGTTCCTTCCTTTCCTGAATAAATTTAAACTTACAAGGGGCGGTTTATTCAAAGTTCGTTATTCCTTAAAAACTGCTTATTGTTTGTTTTGAATTATCACGCCCACTTTTTCTGCCAAATGACAGCGCACGACAAGACGTTCGGGAGAAATTTGTCTATTTTTTGTGTCGTTTTGTTCTCCGTCCTGTGTGTTGCTCCACCCGTAAAACCCCCTCCTCAACCATTCAACGTATTAAATGGCCCACAGGGTAGTTAGTTAGTTGTGAATCCTACTCGCTATCGTTGTCGTTGCTGTTTCATGTATGATCGGCAAGACGGCAAAACCCGTTCTGTGTCAGAGAGGCAGCTGACAATCCGATTGCGTGCCGAAAGTGAGTACTAGAAGCTACTTAAAACGGCCTACGTAGTTGTGATTAATCAAAACCGGGGTCGTGGGAGTTTTTGACGGAAGATGAAACCAGGTCGGCCACTGCACTTAATGCAGCCATCGGCCGATCGCATGCAATGTTCACCCAAATCTCAAAAAGCGTTCTCGTTTATGAAGGATTACTGTAGTGAGGGGGGGAGTGGAAATACCGATTACTATGCAGCAAAATCCCGATGCATTTTAGTCACGTCAGGATGACGGCTTTTGGATGCACCTCTTTTCCGCCATCTGTAGGAAACGCACTCATTAGAAGTGGCTACGTAAATAGTGTGTTTTCGACGTCCTTAAAAATCCAAAGTTCGGAGAAAACATGCGTAAGAATATTCTTTCTTGTACCTATTTAGTAGCACACCAGGGCTTCACATTTTATACTCAAAGAAAGAACATATTTAGTCATTAAAATTGCTTGTCAATTTTGGAATAATTATAAGTCCGGTCTGTCGTTGCATTGGCTTTTAGCGTTTACAGCCCACAAGCTGTATAACTTCCATATAGGAAAAAATCCTGCATTCCTTCACACCGTTAAGAACATGCCATATAAGGCCCGCAAGAATAAACAAAAGATGTGGACTATGTTGCATACCTGATATTGAACATGAATAAGCAGATACGCTGACATTTAAATGGACAGTTTACGGTCGTGAGACATACAATAATTAAAAATACTGTAAAACCGAAAGACATTCGTTCCTCGAATGTTAAATTTGACAATGACGTAATATGCTTCAAAAGGCATCGGGAAAAAGATATATTGAGCACGTTTTCTATAAATTATATTTGGGTTAGCAAGCATGTCCAAAATCGATAAGGCATATACTAATTAGGCAGTTATTTTTCACTAAATACGATTTCCGCAGGCAGTCTAAAAGAATTGCATTCAATAGCCGGCATCTTAAGGCGACCGAAATTCCTTCGATCATCCTGCGTGATAATCCGCATTACTACCCCACGAAAGTGGTCGTTCCCAATCGAAAACATATTTCAGAATTTCGCTTAACATTTCTCGAGATTAGTCATCGTTTGCGCATCCCTGTGTCGACATGACTACAACTTGTGTCTGGTATGTAACGTGTGAGGGAAGATTGGGTGAGAGCGGCCCTGAATTAGCCTTCCTCGCAGTAGTTCTACGCGCGCTATAAACAATCCGCCGCGCTCCTAAAAATATGACGACGTGATAAATGCTGGGGCATGGAAGGATGCCCACCGGCAAGATAGATCGGCTCTATTGTGAATTGAAGTTCAGGGCGCAAAGGTATTCAAAGTAACTCCGTTGATATGCGGCACACCTTAAAGGAGATTTAAGGTTGTATGTGACAGTGCCGACATCGAAAGTGGGAGTGGCGTAAGGTCGACGTCACGCAACTCCCCTGTATGATGCTAATAAAGCACAACTCAAAAACGAGCTCGCGGGATAGTGTCAGTCCTTGTCATTTGCGAAGGAAGAAGTATCGGTCGTAGAAACCTGTTTTTCACAGGGCTAATAGGAGTAGTAAGACCGAAGCGTAAATCCGTTTAACAAGCTCATTCGCTAAAGAAGGCCTCAGCTGGCTGAGTTTGAATGAACGCACACCGACCAGGTCTGTTCATGTTCAACTACAAGAGTGATGGAGTCACCGGTTTTGCTTATCAGATTTAAGTCAGGATTCGAGCCTTCACAGCTGGCAAAATACGGGAAAATGTTGCGACCTTAGAAGAGTCGCCGGCGCGTTGCGAAACCGTGCGCACTAACGCCTTTTTTACGGCACGAATAACCCAACCTACGTTTTGAACTGAGCGACTTTGTGTCGAAACCGCACAGGAAAACGCTCTACCAAATGGGCCATGGATTGATGGTCACATTGGTCGAAATTAGGAGTATAAATAATCGTAGGAAGGGGGTTCACCAATCAGGTTACGGGATATGACCGTCCCCTTACGCATTCGGGTCCTGTGCAGAGCTCCGGAAGCCGCCGTACAACACCTAGCAGTGAAGGCGGAAGGCGATTACCGGGAGAGACATGGGAGACTGGAATGACATTTTCAGGTTTATTAGTCGTCGTCAGCTTGCTTTAACCCAACCCGCGTTTGTAACAGCTGAGCTTCGTTCCCGCGTTTTCGGTCACTGGGCGTTGTTTACTCCAACGCCCTACCAATTGAATGACGGACGGGCTGTTTCATCGCTAGCGATCGGGATTATAAACTGCCTTGCGGGGGGGGGGCGGGGCTGACCGATCAGGTTACAGAAAATGCTAGTTCCGTCACGCATTGGTGTTCAATCAAGAGTCCTCACAGACGGTCAAATGACAACCGGGAATGGTGCAGGATGGTGTAGCGGTTGCAACTGATTCGCGGCAATATACAACAAGGCGTCAGGTGATAGAATTAACCGCCACTTAACTGTCTCCAAAAGTCCAAATTTCCTATAACTTAACTTAAAATATCGCCAGTTAGTTGCAACTATTGGCTGCTTAGGTAAGGGCTAAGTATATGCGCGGAATAAGATGTTATGGAGAACTGCCTACAATATTCTTAAAAGTAGCTGTTGTTTGGTAGAGCTTATATTCGATGCCTTATCGACAGGATGACGCTTGCTGACCTGCTCCGTCCTGAGAAGTCAGTGCTGCAAAAACGCCTACATTGGTTCATTGTTCTGCAAACTCCACACTTAGTTCTTTAGGCGGAGGAAAGATCAATTTAAAAAACGTTCGTGGTGAAGAACAATCGGGCAGGAAGAAATACTCGAAATAGCAGTAGATGGAATACACACGTCTGTCAGCAAAGCAGGAGCGTTAAAAAGCTGATGAATTTGTTAAACAACAGTTGGCATTTTCTTACCCCGCGCATATACTTAATCCTTGTCACTGCTTGGTGCGTTTAAAGGTTGCCGGTACACGCAAAAAATGCGGGTCCCAAAAAGCCATTAATAAGAACAAGATGCGGTCGCTGGACCTAAAACCTTGTCCGTCTGGTTAAAGGTTTTTGCATGCTAAAACTAAATGCGTGTTTAAAAAGGGGAACTTGCCAACTTTCGATTAAATTAACCGAATTAGCATTGTCACTGCAGGTCTGCGGACGGAAGGAGACATTGTATATCAGGGTTTCAGAGCGAAATTATGGCAATGAGACGTACTCTGGGCAGGGGCTGAGGAGGCCCAACCAGCGGTCGACCTCGAGTCAGCGAGCCTCGTCTCGGCAGGAGTTTTGGTCGGCTGGGTTTTGGGAATTCCGTGCTGTCAGCCGGCGCCGTGATGACAGTGTTTGCAGCTCTGGACGCCGGACAATCCTGCACTACCTTTACTGGTACAATTCGAACTGCGGGCTGGGCGGCGGGCGTCTGCCCGAGGGGTTCTGGTTGTCGCGGTTGAAAGGCCCGTAGAAAGTGAGCATTTGGGGAAACCTGCTGATTAAACCGACCTCCCTGGCCAGACTCGAGAAATCCATTGTGCTGCGACTTGAGATTGTCGGACTAGGGGTTGGGAAGGAATGAGGATTCAGTGAGATGAATACCAGAGGCTAGAGAAGAGTGTCCCATGAGTAAATGGGAGTTCGTTGAGACAAAAAATTCAAAAGTAACACCTGTAATGAACTTACATACGCTTTTAAAACCCTGTCATTAGACTCTGGCTTAGACGGCGCCCAAACTAATGTGAACATCGAGAATGCCCTACTGAATTGAAGCTTGATGTGTGTGAGAAACCAAGTCGTACGTGTGTGACGCGTATACAAAATTATTACTTTTGCCGGCCATTGCACCCACGCTCACCTCCGAGAGTCTTGACTTAGTTTGATTAGGGCAGTGCGATGGGTGTTAGGAAAAAGACTGAGGTGAACGCACAGACCCCAGTGCCCGCAATTGTGTTTCAGGGTGAATTCTGATTAAAAAAAGAGAACGCGCAACTGATCCTCAATTTTCGAATAAGTCCGCATTTTCCTAAAATATGTCCGAAAACAATGATTCTAAAGTATCAGTGGGGAAACAAGGTAGATGAGATCTCTTGAATCATTAACTGAAATTATGAAATATGATCTCGGTTAGGAAGGTGGGGTCACGCTACGTATTGACATACAGTATGATTTCCAAGACATTTTAGTCGTCAAAAACGACTACTTTAAAAGTAGGCATCCTCTCCATTGATTTTGTAGCCCAAAGGTATTGGGAAAGTGCCGTCTTAGCATAGAAATTCACACTGATGTAGATTACGCGTTACACTACACAAGGAGCATGAATAAGCGGTCATATGCCAAGATAGTCGGATACACATTTTGCAGTTTTAAAAATCTCGCAATAACAAACGGGAATCGATTTTTTGAATGAAAAATTGAAGAAAACACAGGTAACTACAAAATAAGTGCAATAATAGTTTATGCGTGCTTAGTGTAAAATTCGTTTGAATTTATAGGGGCACTAAAAACCAAAGTGAAATACACACGCCAATTAAGTAGTCATTTTTATAGAATGAGATTTCTGCAGACCGCCAAAAAACGCGCATTAAAAGAGCGGAACTCAGGCGTGACTGTAATATACTATGCGATTATGATGCACGTGAATCAAGAATGGAACCTCTCCTAGGTAAGTCCTTCTTACTTAGCTCATACTTTTAAGTATCTATAAAATGTCTCCTATTGTAGACTGTTGGCACCTTTTCATTTGCATTGTCAGGGAGATTTTTGGGTAACAGGACGAGCTTTGGCAGGCATAAGGAGAAATTGACGTAAGTGAGAGAACAGCCACATCCGAAAGAGCATGTGTGCAGCTTCCGGCTTGTTCCATGTGAAATACTTAGGCGGTAGGCAAATTCAATTAAATGCAGTGTTCGCATTTTAGGAAGTCCCCCGTAGAAGTCGGGAATCACGTCATTAATGGGAAAGGGACTTAATAAACCCAGCGATGGCGTGATCCAGGTTTGATCTCTTGCACTTTATAAAAAATCGAAACTTTCGACTCTACGGTCCACAGAAACTCCAGGTCGGAGGACTATCTAAGACTGTTAAACAGAGTCGACAGGAGGACGTCAGAGATGAGGGATGATCAAAACCCCCGAAAGAACTAGTTCTCAAACGCTTTTTCAAGCAAAAATAAGTCTCAAACAGAGTTAGTGTGGACAGAAGCAGGGACTATCATCCCTGAATGAACGCCTTTTCAGCTATCCACGAAACCTGTGAACTGAAATTTGCGTTTTTTATTTTGTTTCTTTGGCGAACATTGTTCTTGATCGCCGCCACACAAAAAAGTAATTGACCTGGAAAGTAGAAATACTGGGTTCTGAACAAATCCACTAACTAGAGCAGTTTGTCTAAATAAATGCGTGACATAATGTCCGCTAGCTGCCTGCCTCAGTTACCAAGAAATGCAACTGCATCAGAATTGCTCAAATAATATTTAGTAGTTCGCCACATTAGAAAGGTCAGAATTAGGATCGCGCGCTCATTCGTGTTCTATGTAAGTATTTTGGAAATTTTAAGCACGGAGAATTCGGGAAGTGTATCAAAAGATGGTATCTTAAAGCGTCTGCAAAATACAACTTTTCAAAAGGGATTTCTCCCAAAGGGCCGATGTATAAAAAACGCCGGTCCGAGCTACGAAATCCAGCCAAATTCTTAAATGCGTCTCATGATATACAAAATATATCGATTTTTTAAATGAAGTTTTCATAGGTTAATAGAAAGATATTCGAAGGGAAGGTAGATCAGAAGAACAGTAGCCAGCATATCCCATGAGATGTTAACCGAAAATCTGAAATGTTCTTATGGTTAAAAAGGACTACTGAGGTAAGGTCGCAACATTGAGTATCGCGCAGTTATGCATAGATGGCTTTAAAGATCTAGGACAAAACACTCATATGGATGGCCTTTCTTGCGAAATGTTGACCGAAGTGCTTAAGTTTATGTTCAACTAGAAAAGGTTACTTATTGATTGTCATGCAGCATAATCCAAAGATATCTCGGTCACGTTAGGATGACGGCTTCTCTATGGGCTTCTTTCCAGTTCCTCCGTAAATAATTAATTATTTAAAAAGTTCCTCATGATGAGATTTCATAGGACCGTAAAATGTCCATTTGTTTAGTATCATGTCTACCTGTTTACTGATGTCTCTTAAAAAGCATACAAGACGATGTACAACCGCTATGAAAGATTAGAGTCACAAATGACTTCATCTTAATAAAGTAAAGAAATTTACGATTTCCATTTAACGGAAGGAAGAAACCCTAAATGCAAATGCAACTGAAACTTGGGTTCAAAATTATTCAAACATTGAAAACATTTTTTAGACCGAAGCATCCTGTTTCTCCAAGCATAATACTTGGCAAATACGTGTTTCGGTTATTCATCGTCAAGTCAATATAATTACATAGAGAAGTGAAAATACACAAAATTAACAGTGTTTCTAGGGGCCTCAAGGGCTATTAGGTCATTAGCACTCATCTTCCCCAAGCCGCCCGCATGACAAGGTCGACGGGTTCTGGTCCTCAGAGCTAGGGGAGGGGGGTAAAAGAGTCCTTGAGTGATGTTCTTGGATTGAGCACACGGAGTACCCGTCACTGTAATTAAAAATTTGAGGCGGCATGTCGTCATCATTTGAGGCTGACGTTGGTCACAGCAGGGAGAACACTTATGTCAGGGTTTTCTGAGAACATGACACCGGATTCGTTAGCCGTATAGCCACTGCCTCGGACGTTGCCAGCACTAGTTGACGTAGGCCTTTAGAAAAGCTTGTTGGTGTCCGGTGGACAATCTGAAATGCCTCCTTGGCATCGACTCGGTGATACGTATCGACTAAATTTGCGAGGATGGAACTCGAAAGCGATCAAGTCCCACCTCTGTCTAGCCAGGCGGGCATATGTTCACGCACCCCCTTTAGCAGACTTTCCATTGTACGGCCAATGTATTCCACTACACAGAAGCAAGTGAATGAGTAAATGCACCTTGATGCGGCCTCCAACGGTAGTCTCTCTCTACCTCCCCAACATAGGAGGGAAGAGTTTGTGAAGTATAGGCGTAAATTCGTCGCGGGGAATGCTCTCGGCATACCTGTAGTTAAGCTTCGTCTGAGTAGTTCGCATTTACTCATCCACTTGCCTCTGTGTAGCGGGATACATTGGCCGTACAACAAAAGGTCTGGTAAAGACGGTGCGTGAACGTATGTCCGCCTGGCTAGACAGAGGTGAGACCCGATCGATCCCTACATTTTGGATGCCGATGAGCTTGAGGTATGAACTCGATTCTAAGAAATCGCTAATTATTGCCCCAGAATACTTTACTACTTAAGCACCCAGCCTCGATCAATCTGAAATAAGCATTGATTTGTGGTTCATCTATCCTGTTAGCGGGAAGAAATCGGGAAGACGGATATCCCATTAAGTCCTGGGCGTCTCAGCACCTGGGTTCGGCTGTTATTGACTGGTGGCTTTAAATAAGCCACGCACTGTCATCCGACTGCAACCTGGGTTTGTCGGTAATATCCTCCAATTCTACATTTTATATGACGCATTTCTAGCTTAGTACTCTAGTGCTATGCTATCATTGAAACTCCGATAGGGCGACTCAAACGCCCACCAAAACTGTTCTGGCCTATCTCGTACACCTGCGCCAATCTGAATACAGTAATCAGGTGGCAGGTTCCCAGCATTACTGACAAACCAGCAACAAAACACGTCATCATGTGAAAAAAACCTAAGATTACACATTTTCATAAGAGGAAGATTGTTTTTTATAATGTACCAACCAGAATTGCATTTCCGAGTTATCCGCGCTAGGCAAGGGGCAACCAGGTGACGTTCAAACCAAAGTACCCATTCTTCTAGGTCAGGCATTGCATTTGCATGCAATTAACAGATTTAAAATCTTCGACCATTAGGCCCTTAACTATCTGCACACAGCAAGACAGACTGCATACAACCTAGCCTTTGGTGGCCTAAATAGGACGCTCTGTGTTATAGGTAAGGGGATAAGCGATCTAACCTCTTTTGAGTGAAAACCCGGTGCGGAATCCGAGGGTCAGGTCGCGTGTGATGAATGCAGACGGACTGTTTAGTTCAGTCAGTCAGTTACATTCAATCCCCGCATCAGATGGCTGACCAGATCGGACAGTGGACTGGTACCTGGGGAGGTAGTGTGAGGTCGGCTCTGGGGACTTGGTCTCCACAGCAATCAGCGCATACCCCTCACTGTAAACATTTCAAAGAGAACAGGCAAGTTCCGGGTAGCAGTTCAGATGATGAAGATGCGATCACTGAAACAACAACATGAGGCCGAAAGACCCGCTGACAAGGCAGGAAACGTTTGTAGTCATTTACCGGATCTGGTGAAGTTGCGGACAAAGCAACTACGTCGGAGAAACTGGGAGATTACTCCGTACAGGAATTGCTGAGCACGCAGCAGCAATGAGGTGGGGAGACTCCAGCTCTCAAGTGGCGGCACACTCGACGGGACCCGGTCATATTTTCAAATTTCAAAAGACCGAAATACTCGCAAGGGGTGACAACCGCGTCAGCCGCGAGCTGCTCGAGTCATGGTTCTCGGGCCCGCAATCCATCAACAAGCACAATGACCTCCCGGTACCCTATTCCGTACTGCGATTTTCCCTGGGCAGGAGAATCAGTCACGTGGGGAGGGCGCGGGCGAGCAATCATCACGGTGACAGTGAGCCAGTTTGCCGAGCAATCGTCACACCAGCATCCAGCACGAATGAAGAAATCACGGCAATTAACGACTCGGACTCGGACTGACAAGCCACCACCGCATCAATTACGACCACAGCGGTGATCTCTAGAGCTGTTAATTACAGTGCGCACATGGTCCCACGGCAGCCACGTTCTATAAATACTGTACTCCTTGTGCCATCATCACCTTTATCCAAGAACGTCTCTGGGGATGGATTCGGGTGAGAATCCAAAACGTCAGGCCAATAAATTTCCTGTTCCAGTGATCGCATCTTTGTCTTCTGAATCTGAAGCGCTTTTAAACTATTACGGTGCGCTGAAAACCGCAGCTTGGAGGTTTGCCAAGTGACGGGTCCTCCGTGGACGGAGAGTTAGGCTGCAATAGCCCCTCTGTGATGCAGTCTCTATAGCACTGCTAGTCTTATGGGACTCCAGCAGCCCCTCCTTGTTTTTGTGAAAATCTGGTTCACGCTGCATGGACCAGACGTGTTAACACCAGGATCAGAGAGGGTAGGGAAGGAGGGAGCTCAGATGCTGCTGCGCAAGTCCATTATCATCTTAAATTAAGCAACGCACACGTTGCTGTCCTTGCACCCGCCATGTTGTGGAGGTACACGGTGGAAATCATAGCTAGCGATGGTCGATTTGTCGAAAAGGTGGTAATAATAACCAACCTGCCGTGTCAAAAGGCATGTCTGAAAATATGCCGGAGCTTCAAAAATGCATTTTCTGACAAACGGGCTAATTTTCCAGCCCAGAGACCACAAACAGCAAAATAATAATAAAAGTAATCCTCACTACTTCTTAGTCTCTTATTTTGACTGGCTTAAACAGACAGTTTGACAATTGTGCGACTCGCGCAATTAGTCGTGATTTATGCTCGACGTTCAGAAATGTCCTTGACCAACCTTTACATTACTCTAAACTGAATACCGAACAAGACAAGCTAGAGTGCAGGGGTTATCCCTTCCGGATTGCTGATTACTTGTCGCCATGTGACCGTCTGCGAGGGTCCTGGATCAGCGCCCCAGGGCGGAGTAGAGCGAGCAACATGCTCCGTCCTGCAACCGGATCGGTGAAGTGACACTCTCGTGTGAATTTATCGCAATTCTGGTGCAGCCACGGGGAAGTCAGCACCAAAACAAGGAAACACAAACGTAAGCACCGATGTCGTCACTGGCAAGGCTGTGCAACACGTTAACGCATGCCGCCAAACCAATCAGAGTTCGACCCTGGCAGCCAGCTTGCCTATTGGTCGTGGAATCGCATTCAACCCAGAAGACGGAAGATGACCTCAAAAGGAATGATTTCTTTGGACTGGAACGCATTTAGCAGGGAGCTGAAGTACGGTTCGGATTCGGGGTCATCGAATACACACATGTACGGGCCCGGAGGAGTGCAGTCCTAATTCGGGTCAAATGTCTTCCCAACCTGCTTGGGAGTGGGGGAGGGGAAGTATACTGCACTTTTCGCCAAAACACTTTAGATAAGAAACCACAAAGTACAGGCTGTTGTCAAAAAAATAAACAGCATGAAAGAAGTGCATTCTGATAGTTTTGACCTAGAAAGAAGCTCCCGAAAATGTCTTAGCGCTGCACCAACAGCAAGCGGCTAACTTTGATAGCAAACTACGCTGCTGTGCTGTTCGGGTGTCCTATTTTGAAGGCGAAAAACCCGTAAACAAGGCAGACTAGTGGTGTTATTTTGAGTGTTTGTACTTTTTTAAACGGACAGTTTTATGCGCAATGCACCGTACATGAACAGAACGAGATACTTGGAAAGTACTTGAAAGCACTGTCAGTGACGAGTGCAAAAGAGCAAGTTCGACAGACAGGACCTAATCAAAGTGCTCATCTTAAATAAAACAAACCCCAATGCGCGACACTAAACATCCTGTCGGCAGGGCTGGGTCAGTTTCACTGTCCGAGCAGGCTAAATCGCTTAGCACTTCAGTTCATAGGCATCCTCGGACGACAGACGCAGTCTTTGAAAGTTAAGAATCGACTGAGAAACCGCACCTTCTACGTAAATGGCCGGGGCCGCAACTAGACAAAGGAATAGCTGATGACATACAAATGAGCCAAGTTATGGTAAGGGAGGCACGCACACATCCACCCCATTCGTTCCACACATCGAACATGATCCTTCAGCAAGATAGCGTCATGACGACTCGGGACGACGGGGAGAAAGTGAACGACGTGGCAAACTTCTCTACGCGGGCCACACGCGAGCTGGTCTACGGCTTCAAGCGATGGGATTTGCAATAAAAGGGTTGCTGACTTCATACCAAAGACGATCGCCGTAAGAAAAACGCAAAGATGCAGCTAATGTCATTCGGTTAGCCGCGTTAGTCTGAGTGCTACCAGTAGTGTGCAGAGACAAATAAAATGCCCTCATGTGATTGCACGAAGAGGGAGTTGGATCAGCTGCATGCTAAGGTGGAATAAATTACCAGAAAAACTTTGTTTAAGTAGGTCTGTGCTAAATGTATGGCAGTATTTTGGAACATCCATGTAGCTGAATGACTGCCAAACCATTTGTGATTCATAAACAGTAATGTGTCTAGCCACTAGTACCCAGTTAAATAAAATGTACGTACCTATGACGAAAACCAATCGGAATTTCGGTCGAATCTTATTTCGTAGCCGTGCCTGCAGTAGACAAGCCCCGGCCTAATCCCTAACCCTAACCCCAACCCATTACTTCAAACCCCAACCCTTAAACACTAACCCTGATCCCTAACCCATAACTCCAACCTCTAACCCTTACCCCCAACTCCTAACCTTAACCCCTTAACCCCAGTCCCTAAGTCCTAACTCCAACCCATAGCTCCTAACTCTGACTCCAAAACTTAACTCGTAACTTTGATCCCTAACCCCTAACAGGTACGGCTACGAAATAAGATCTCGCCGGAGTTTCTAGTTACACAAGAAAGTTTCAGACTGCAGCATTTTTGTTCATGCATCTTCAGGGTGTTGACGAAAGTCCATTGTCAGGCAAAAGAGTTAGAAGGAGCGGGGTCGCCGACCTGAACGACGAAGCGAAGGGGGACCAAAGTTAATAGTCCGATGTCGGCGTTGCCTGTGGAAGCAGGAGATACTAATAGACTCCACACGAGGTCGAATGGGAAAGAGCTTTCCTGTGTAGTGGGGAGTGCGATGTTATCACAAGCCAGCGGTTTAGAGATGGGGAAAAGTTGTTCCAGAATGAGAGACTGACCGCTGAAATCGACGATGATCGCTCGTGTCAAGTGGAGTCAGCGCGGCAATAACAACTTCGTGAACCAGTTTACAAGGTGCCACACTTCCTCGTTTCCCATTCGTCTTACTCGAATGAAAGGGTGAAGGCAAGACTGGCAGTTTCTAACAAGGTCGGATGACTCGTCTACGCGTGCCATACACACGACGTGACTTCCAGCACAGACGTACAAAACCAAACTAGGGGGCCTCGAATCCTACATAGGTGAGGATACGTGCAAAGGTGACATAATATAACTTAAGCTCAAACAGGAGGGTCAGATCTCAGTAAACGTTACCTAGTATCTAGCAGCGTCTCCGTCGACAATTTCAGTGACATCCCAGTCTTATAAATTACAGCGGATAAAATGAGGGATGTTGGATCGCATTGGGGAACAGCGGAACTGCTTCCAGAGGGAAGTCCTAAAGCGTTTGGCACATGTAAAAACAACCAGGGCAAGGGAGGTCATAGAAAAGACTGCTCCACTACACTTTTATAATGGGACCATTAATTCGTAACAACTGTGCCAGCAAAATGGCAGTTATCCGAAGTACAAGATCAACACTTTAGTTTTGAGTTGTCAGCATTAGGGATTCCTCTAACCTTAGGTATTGTGACGGATACATAGGTCAGCACTGCGTCTTGCATTAAGAGCGCTGGTTCCCGCTCCAGACGAATGAGGCGCTTTCTTGTGGAGCTCATTAAAACGCACTAGGTTTCGGTAGTCGGTACAGTTAATGCAAGACAAAGAGACGAATCCCAGGAAGCAGTAGTGAAGAAGGAGCCATGATCATTGGGACAAGAGCTTTATTCGCCTGACGTTTCGGATTCCTGCTCACACCCATCATCAGAGACAAAAGCAGACACGGTGGGTCATGCAAGGGGGGGATTGCAGTATTTATAGGATGCAGTCGCCATGCTACCGCATACCTATGAACATTCACGGCTTATTCGACGAGATCCGGTCACACATTCAAATTCGACGAGGCCAAAATTCTCGCTAAAGTTGAAAATCGCGTAAGCTGCGAGCTGCTTGGGTCATGGTTCACTGGCCCCCAGTCTATAAACGACTACAACGAACTTCTCCTTCCATACTCGATGCTGAGACTTTGCTTGAGCGGAGTAATCAGCTACGCGGGAGTACACAGGTGAACACTGATCCCAACGTCAAGGTCGGTGGATCAGATGGCCGAGCAGTCATCACACCAACATCCGACACACGTAACGAACTTGCAGCAATTAACGACACGGATGTCGGCTATCAAACAGTCATCACACCAAGTACAACGACTCCTGATGAAGGAGGGAGCCGTGAATATTCATAGGTACGCATGGCGACTGCATCCTATAATACTGCAATCCCACTTTGCATGAGCCATCCGTATCTGCTTTTGTCTCTGATGATGGTTCCGAGCAGGAATCCGAAACGTCAGACGAATAAAGTTCTTGTCCCAGCGATGGTGTCTCCTTCTTTACGAATGCAAGACAACGTGAAGCAGGTCATCCTACCTACAGGTCTGATGCTTTTTAGCAGAATTGTAAACTTCTGTCAAGCATATACATTCCCTGATGACCAAAATACCCATAGATGGGCAGTTACACTCACTATAGGACCAGCAGGGGAGCAGTGATTGCTGTCCACTGTTGGCGGCGAAGAAACCCCATTGGCTGAATCTCGAAAGACTGGACTGACTGTCCTTTCGCTGGTGAAGTGCGAGAACGAGGGTGTGTCCAGTAGCAGTGTAGGGGAGGTCAGTTGGCGAGCAATGTCATCCAACTTTAAAGAGTCGATTCGCTCCACCCGTGGAGGTCGGTAGGGACGTCGGCGATTCGAGCTGAGCAGACTGTCGGTTCGCACGGAAACACTCTCCGAGTCGGCCGCCGGCGTTGGTGCATCAGCCTCACGCCGAAACCAGCCGTTTGGTTGGTAGGCCAGGTGGAAGCTCTCGGCATTGGCGTAGGATTCGTCGTTCAGACGAACTGGAGAATCCACCTCATCCCAAGTCCTCACCCCTTGCTCCCGGGCGCGCGAGGCTGCTGCGAAAGGGGAGCTGTCGAGGGTGGCCCCTCGCTGCTGTAACTGGTGCCGACGCTGATCATGCAGTCGGAGGTATCCGCCCCCGCTGGCGGACCTCAGCTCGGCCACATCGGTTGTCATACGACGTGCACGTTGCTGGTGTGGGTCTTTTATCAGTTTGGGTGGTCGAGGCGGTTTGGCCTCGCCGAGTTGTGTCGTAAGTGGTCGCAGAAAGCGAGGTAGAGGCTGGGCGGGGGTCGGCTGTGTATCCTCCAGCTCGTAGGGATCGGCAAAACCTGGCGCGCCCCTGCGGGTGGTAGGCCGCACTGGGAGTCCACTGGAATTTTCTGAGTATGGTTGATCGTCAGTGGTTGGTGATTTTTGCACTAGAATACAGTAACAACTCCACTCAGAGTAGTACATTGATTATTTTTTTTGTCCTAGTCAAGGAAAAACTAATGATGAGGTAAACATTGAGAAATTTTTCGCTGCACTTATCGTCCCGGGCCAGTGGCAGTCAGAAGACCAACTAAAATATGCAATTAGGGGCCGTGCAGCTCTACTAGCCCTATTAGTATAGTTCTAGCCTTCTGCTTGCGTTTGCATGATGTGAAAAAAGTGACTCTGTCAAATGCACGTGACAAAGGTTCAGTGAAATTGCCCGAGAATATTTCCTAGTCTCAAATTTTAACCGTTTGGCAAACGAAATAAACGGAGGTGTCTCAAATTTTGTGGATGGAAGGGGGATATACAAAGCACGGCTTCCAAGATTTGATTTAACGTTTGTTTCGTTCATCCTACAGTACTACAACGCAATACCCCATTTTAACACCTATAAGTGACGAGCAGTGAGCGAGCTTCAAACGAAGTCCCACAGACTGTTCGGTTTGGTTTCCGGCCACGCCAGTTATTGTGTTCAAAATTCAGGTAGATGCGGGTGATGGTCACTGACATTCAAAGGCCGCCCCCCCCCCACGAGAGACATGCAAGTTGACAACAGTCACCCTCCCTCTCCCGCTAGTCCGGCGACTACAGAGATGATTCCTGTGCGTATCCAGGCGATGAGCCCAAAAAACCGATTTACTATTTCCCCATTGTGCACGACTTATATAGACCCGTATAACTAAGGCTGTCTTACCGTGGCTGTTACCTCCTATAAATACTGCGAGACACGATTCCATCCTCATCTCCGACGCTGGAAGCTTGTCTGTTTTTGATGCGTCAGGACAATAAAATTATGGTTTCTGAAATCGCATTTTCGGCTAGAACGCAGGTGGTAGCCAGGCCCCGTTTTACAGGTGGCTTGGGGGGTTTGTTTATTGGGGCTATTTTGTGGGACTCCGTAAGTACATCTGACCTTTTTGGCTTCCGTTTTACGTTCGAGGTTAGGAGTAGGGTACCGGTTGATAGTTTCTGATTTTCGGGTTAGGGTTATGCCTTTAGGCTTAGGTTTTCGGGTCACGGTTAGGGTTTGAGCGTACGATAATGTTTCAGAATTACGGTTACGCTTACGATTTCGGTTAGGGTTAGGATTAGCGTTGCCGTTAAGGTTACCGGTTAACGTTTAAGGTCGAGGTTAGGGTTAAGGTTAAGGATAAGATTAGGGTTAAGTTCGCCGTCCGCTTCCCCATTCCTGGCTACCAACTGAGATCTAGCGCATTTTCTCATATATACGTAATTAATTAAAAGGAAAATGCACGTGTTAGGTCTAACTGAGATGAAAATTTGATCCCAAAACCATGGTGTTAATGTTCTTTCACAGTATATAAGCCACAGTGCGTGAATGCTCTCAGAACACCTCAACTATTAGGGCAGGTCTGAACAAAAACACTAGAATGACATTACAGACAAAGACAAGGGAGACTGGGATGGCCATTTCTGGCTTACTAGTCGTCGTCAGCCAGTCATAAGTAACCCCGAAGTGTGGAACACCCGAGGCTCGAACTCGCGACCTGTTAGTTAGAAGTCCACGCCTCTAAACACTGGGCCAGGAACCCGTTGCCCTGTCGGTTTTCGACCGCTGAGCGCCCCCTACCAAAAAAACTAGAGTTGGTTTGGATTTATTTTGGCTCTTCTGTGAATATCTACCTGACGGAATGCAAAGAATTTATACTGACCGTGAGGGGGGAGTGGATGACAGTGGTTCCTAAGATGGCATTTTCTTCTCATATATATATATAAAAGGAAAATGCCTGTCTTCGGTACAGCTGAGATGAAAATGTGAACCCAAAACCATGGTGTTAATGTCCTAACACAGTATATATGCCACAGTGTGTGAATGCCCTCAGAACACCTCAACTATTAGAACCGGTCTGAAGAAGAACATTAGAGTTTGGTTAGAATTTTTTGGCTCTTCTGCGAATATCTGCCTGACGGAATGATATGCATTTATACTAACCGTGAGAGGGGGAGTGGATGAGAGTGCAGGTGGAGTCCTCCGAGCCGGACGCACCCAAAGACGACGCATCAATTCTTAGGATGTTCGGCGACTGCTGCTGTTGCTGCTGGAGGACATGGTGATTAAGATTGTCATCATCGCCTGCAAAGCGCACCGTCTTGCGGGAGAGAGAGCCACAGGTCTCGGAGAGACAGGACTCCTGTCCTGAAGAGGAGTAGCTGTCGAAGGAGCCCTTGCCAGTGTAGGTGGGCAGATCTAGACTGTCACGTACGTAGTAGGCATTCAGTTCAGGCTGTGCGGGTGACGAGGGAAATGGGGGCTGGATCTGTTGTTGTTGTTGTTGCAACTTTTCACCCTTGAGAATACCGCGACGGCTGACAGTGGTGTCCGGTAGTAGGGTAGGCGTCACAGGCTTAGGCGAATCGGCGGCACCCATCACCCGTGACTTCTCCGGCACACCGGCTTTCCACCATTTGGCAAAGTGAATGGGATTCAGTTGGAAGTGTTTCTCCAGTTCCAGGTAGGCCTCAGCGACACCAACAGAGGGCTGTTTTTAACAAAGGCAGAAAAAGCAAGGACTGTTTAACTTTACCGAGATGGGCATGCGTGTTTTGTCGCGCGTGCCATAGGATAGCCTCATAGGTTCATTAGGGGTAATTAGCTCAGGGATTTTAGGCGCACTGGACCGAACGTCTCAACCGTTTGTACTCACTTGATGCTTCTCTTTAGTAGGTAAACAGGTCCTTGGAAAACAGCGCAAAATGTCTGAGTACAAGACAGTTTTGAATGTTATCCTATCACCCAGTGCGTGCATTTTAAACAACGGTGCCAACATACATCATTGCATGCTCGTCCAGACTATTAAGGGGGCGCTTGTCAGTATTCTCTGTTCCCACAACTAGAGGACTTTGACCTTCAGATGCGCGATGCCATGCCAAGTGGTGTTTTGCGCGGGAAACTGATTACCAAAGTTATTCATCTGTCAAGACGTATGTCGATGGTCGACCTCATTAAGATAAAAGTGCAATTTTGTTCTCTGCCGAACGAACTTGTACCGCGACCATAGGGCAAAAATGTGTACTTTTAAAAAATGTCCATGTTTAAGGGTTCTAAGGGCGACTTACACTGAAGAGCGGTGTTACGTGGCACCGCAACGCCTAAGAGACGGCATAATTTTGATGAATAATGGTTCCGTCCATGGTGCGAAACACGAACGGATGCAGTTAGCAAAGATGAAGAATTTCGGCAACGCTGACCACAAAAACCTTACCTTGTTACACAACGACGAACCATTCCGCCTGAACGATCGGAACAATTTTTATTGCTTTGAACAGCCACACCCCAGTCATACCGAGAACGTTGCTGTCTAAACTGGCAAACGGTCAGGAGGCAGCCTTAAATGCGAGTAAGTTCGACTTTATTACTTAATGCATACACTAAATATAGCACAATGGAATAAATGGTTTGACACTGGTGATACTCCACGAAGTACTCGCGATCTTGTTTTCCTAGTTATCTTTCATCATCGCTTCTTTTCCGTGAATTTCCATTCATTGTGCACAGTCACGGCTTGTCTTTAAATGGTCAGTTGCAGTATATGTTTAAGTTAAATTTAACTTTCTCTGGCTTTTTAAACGTTTTTTTTCATTTAGCAGTTACTAGAAGCAATAGTGAGTTACGCCGATTTATGTACGCATTTTACGTTTTATGAGGCCAGCTTCAGTAAACCGAACACTGTGATCAGTCGTGCCATTTCAAAGATTGGAAATCCCCGATAAACTGACGTTCGAAATTGGATATGATCTTTAATTCACTCCTTTCAAAGCATCCCTTTTGATTCTGCGCTACCAAAAATTTCTCCACATCAGTTAATTGCAGTATACACGTCTTTAGATTTATTGGTTTTCGGTAATCTTCCTTCTTCCTGGCTACCCAACTAAAATATCGTACCAATTAAGCATTAGTTTTATGAACTGTAGGTCAGGGGTTGATTGCTTCTGCAATCCGAGGATTTATCCATATATTTTGCACCATGTCGTGAGATATTTCATTTATCACAAACGGGACAGGACGGTTCCCCGAGAATGACTACACAGCCAAGGGTTAGCGGGGACCATTATCTAGCGAAGGCCTTCTTCGATAATAGGGGGTGTAAAACACAAACTACTAATTAAATCCTACATTAACACTTCATCCAGTGATTTGAAACTCAGCGAAAAGTTGTTTGGCACAATGCGCAAACTTTAACGAAGAAACCCCGCGACTACTCGATCCGATTATGCTATCCTACCCGATGAGCAGGTAAAACTGCATCTGAGATTCAGTAGTAACGAGTTCAGAGGGCATCAGGGATGGACGCGAGAAAATAGGCCTTCGTATTACAGGCGGCCCAGCCTGAAATTGCAGGCGATTAGAGTCAACGGTAGCCTTAGTGTTATGAGGGCTAGAATTAGGGTTATGGTTCGGGTTAGGTCTATGAGAGGAATAGGAACATTCCGGGAATTTAGCGCGAAGCCACCTGTAATACCGAGTAGTCAATAATTCCGCGCGTGACTGTTCTACTTATCGTGATACTGAATAAATGTGGTAACATTTTATCGTGTCTAATAACTACATGAAAAATAAATCCTCAATTCAATAGCATCAACCCAGCCTCAAAGGGGCTGTCAAGAAAGAAACGGAGACTATAAAGTGCTTTAGAAAAGCGTAGAAACAAACCTCTTTTCGGAATAAAACGGAAAGAATTACCCGACAACGTATCAGTTAATTCGGAACATTCAAGCATCCGACAGCATACATATCAATAGACCGTGACAATGCGTAAAATCTAGAGCGAAAGGCCATACTCTAGCAATAAGCGACAGGATGTAGACTGAGAACGACAAACATTGATGTCTCCGCACGTTTCAGCCAATCAGGAAACAATCTAATAAGTTACAATGGTTGGCATCGATTTAATAGTGATCTGTGATCTTTACCAGTAATAACGGAGGGACAGGAATAACTATTTTGGCCTATTTCATCTTATGGCCCAGCCACACTCCAAGGGCCGACTGTAAGGAGTTGACATCTGAATCTGAATCTTACTGACCATATTATTTTAAGATATTACTGCTGACTGACGAACACAGAATCTGTCCTGATACGTCGCACAGGTGGAATGTTGCCTTGAACTTGGGTTTTGGGCTGTGATGGGAGTTGCAGGAGGACAGTGATTAAGGCGAAAATGACCAGTTCATTCTCTTTTATATTTATCAATCAAACTTCTTGATTATTGGCTGCCCGTTACCATAGCATCGCCACTTTAAGAAACTGCGAGGGCAGCGGACCCCGCAACCCGTGAATTTACCTGAAGCCAGACCAGAGCAGAGAATGCCAGTCTAATGTAGGCCTAAATATGCGTACAGTCCTGTAAACGTGTATTTTTCATGGTTGCGGTAAAATACGGACAAAACTGCCTCTTCAGCTACCAAAGGGCGTCCAGTTCGCTCATGGCTGATGACGACGACTACTACCACCACCACCGTCACGTGAGAGGCGACCGAAGTTGGTTCGCGAACTGGGTGTGCATATCCCGGAGTACGTGGGCCTGCTGAACTAGAGGAATGCTGCTTGTGATCTGACAGCACTTTCAAACTTTGCAGACAACTGTCAAGGCAGTTTGATGAGCGAAGACGCACGGAAACCTGTCAGAACGCCGCTCTTGTGTTACGGACGGGTCCAGTTATTCCCCTGCAGGGGGGGGGGGAGTGTGCAGGTCTGCGTGCGTTAAAAGCATGTGTTGGAAAGGAGGGTACTTTACAGTCATGTTAATCAGTCTACTAACGTATCGACAGTCTGGTCTAACTAGCAGTAGGATCAAGGTTCTCAAGAGAATCTGATATACCGGACCGGTCCAGAATGTTACAATGGTTACAACGACACGTCCTCTGCAATTCTCGAAGATTGTGCCACAAACTCAAATGGGTAATCGGGTACTGATCCAGGCGGAACTGCTCCTGCTCTTTAGTTGATGGCGTTCCCAGCCTAACATAGTAAGCCTTGTGGAAAAGTGCCAGCAATACATATATCTGTATTTGTACTCCCGGTCGCCCAAGACCGCTTTGGAACTTCTTGACATTGAAGCAGCAGGGGTGCGGGAAGGGGATGCGGCAGGTGCTCTGCAAGGCTTTTTTTACTGTAAGCTATTCATAAATTTATCCCCGGTTCTGCCCTCAATTCGTGGAGACACGCCATGGACGTCAAACTGTGGTATTGTCAGTGGCGGATGATAGTATATAGGAAAATAATTCTTCCAAAAACACTAATATATATTCATATTGACCCAACTGTGAAAAACTTAGCGTCTTGGCTCACTTAATTCATAGGTGATCGGGTAACTTGACCCAAATGTGATTAAACTCGCGTCGTCCGGCGGGGCCTCGTAGCTCAAGTGCTTAGAGCGTTGACTGTAGTAAACCTTTCCCCTTACTGCGTGGGTTCGTAGTTGGGTCAGTATGAATTATTCAAAATCTGCCAAACTAATATATATATTTGTGATCATTTTGTGCGGGATTAAGTCTTATATAGGTGCAGTATTCTAGTCGCAGGCTAATAAAAAACCTCGACGATATATTGGGACAAAGTTATTCTGTCGGTGTATGTGGGAAGGACACAGCGTTGAACCACAGGCATGCTTCGCAGGTACTCTCAATAATATGCCAGTGTAAAAATAAACACTGCGCCGATAGATAAGAAGATGCAAGTTCGACAAAATAGTTGATAAAAAGCAGAAGCGATAGCTGGAACAAGAGCTTTATTAGCTTAACGTTTCGGATTCTCGCCCGAACCCATCATCAGAGACAGTGACACATACAGACCCGTATGTGACCGGAGTGGACACCGTATATCCTAGCTGGCTGTGGACCAGGGCCGTCGCAGGGTTTAACGGCAGTTCGACCGACGATTCCAACGATATCCATGGTCGCTACACAGCAAGGTGCAGCAGGCATGGCGATTTGCGCGTGAAGTATTTATAATGATGGTGAACTTGCGCAGCATCTACCGCACTTCCTCTTCCACACTCCCCTAATGAACCCAAGTTCAAGACAGAGACAGGAAGAGCAGAGGTGGGGGAGGGCGCAGGTGGCTGGCACTGTCGGAGCCGTACCTAGGCGTACCACCACATTCCCTGGCCCATAACATACACTTGGTCAGGATTTTTCACCAACAACGTCCCAACAGAGGTCAGAAGGACGAGGATGATGATTGGGCAGTTATGCCCGCCACATGTATACCCAGCGGAAGCGCAAGTGCATCTACCGGCGGGGAACCAGGTGTCAGGGAACCGCCAGCGCCTACCAGGTTGTGAGGACCATTGTTTGCTGATTCTGACGTAGCACACGCTTCCAGTCCTTTTAACCCACAGGGTTTATCACCCCGTATCGGACTAGCACGTCTTAAAAGGCCATAGTGACCCGTGCTCTGCGGTTAAATAACTCCTCCGATCCGTATTTTGAGAAAACACTAAAGAATGATCCAAAGGGTTAAGTTCCCAAGGCTAAATTTAGCTTTATGGAAACTGAATGAAAGGAAGGTAAAAAATGCGAAAAAAACGTGTCTAGCCTCTGATCAGGATGTGTACCCTCTGCACTCGGATCAAAAGTTGTTAACGTACAGCCAGTTGTTAGGTATGCCATACGCCTTCACGCAGGTCACTAGCCCTCCCGCTTAGTAGACCAGCATATTATCAAAAATAGGTGCATTCAAAAATTCTAGGAAAGTCTGCCAGCAGATCCATTTGCAGCAGCAATGCTGACAATGCGGGCGGGCTCTTTGCAACAGGGTTCCTGATGAGAGACTTCGCAGGTCGTCGCATGACGATTCCAGTGATCACATCCGACTTGCTTTTGGCTATTCGGTAGTAATGGTTCAACCCCAGATGCGGAAATCGTAAAGCTCGGGCCTGGGTTTAGCTGGGCATTGAACCACAAGTTCTGTCCGAGGCTTAGGCCATGTTGGTTGTGATAGAGCCTGCTTAAAGTTATACGTCGTTGGCGTTTGTTGATTTAACATACACGACAACACTCTCATTTTTCTCACGATCTGAAAGGTCTGATTTTGAGCCCGTCATCCAACCGTTGAAGCGTCGAGCTCAATGGAGGATAGAATCCAGCGCCAAACGTCCACTCCTTCCTGCCTTCCGTGGGAGTCTGGGGACTTGAAGATGGCTAACTAACCGAAACTGATCGTTTCTCTCTTCCTGGCTCCCGTAAAGAGTAGCTCTCAAAAGTTGACTATAGTTTTAACACCATTCGGCGGGTTAGCGGGAGACGAAATTCACGCTCTCCTTTTAATCCCCTCAGTCAGCGTTTAGAGGTGTAGTAGCACCGTTACATACAATGAACTTTAACGAGGCGCCAGGCTAAAATACCACAAGCAACTGTTGTACACAACACCTACACCACCAGCGACATTAGGAGACTGCTAGCAACAAGAAGCCTCCCCCAGTGTCTGATTGAGGAAGGTACACGTGAACTTTTCCCGAGATCGGTGCATCCCCATCCAGCACGTTCATGGTAATGCCATAAAAAAACGCTTGGCAATAACTTCAACAGTGCCTCCTTCAGTGTAACGATTCGTACGAGAAAATCAAATCACTCTTGAGGATGCAGGCAGGCTGGGTGTGAACTTAAGTCTGCACCTATTGAAGGCAATCGTATGATGGAAAAAACCGGAGACAGGACTGTGCACCAGTCCAAAAGGGTGGATGAGTAATTAAATTTCCGAAAAGTAGCACAGGTTCCAGTTCGCTATCCTACTGGCGCAAATTTAGAAGTAGGATTGTCGAAAACTCCCCACTGGGTAAAGGCAGTCAGGTATGGTTGTTTATCAGACTGAAGTTTTGGCCGTGGTTTTAGTTTAGAAGGACGCACTGAGATTCAGAAAACTGACAGCATAACTAAATCAGGGTGCTCGAATGCTCCTGAAAGTTTGCGGGTTTAACCACACTCTTACCAGACTGTTGACAAATGATACTGGGTTACCCAGTCCAAAGTCATTTTTTACCCTGACCTCCCAAAGATGCGTAAATTTCCAAGTGGCGGAGGTGAGAAATAATGGATAACGTATGATATTCCAAAGCTAAACTTTGTTCAAGCAACTTGAAAAAAGGACAATAATGTAGTCTATCACGCGCGAGAGTTAATTAAAAGATGCGTTGTCAAAAAACAGAAGGAATTTTGCCGGACTCATTATCCCACTGGCGTTTCAGTAGTATACTGAAGACTGTCCAGCGAACGTCTTTGAAATATCTCCATAAAACGCAATGAGTGCCAAATATGTAATGATAGCTCTTAGTTATGAGCGTAAGTCCCGCAAACAAAAAGGACTTTGAGAGCATTTCTGTGGCGACGATGCATACAATGTAGGAACATAACAAAATGACGGTGGAAAGGACAAAAACAAAAACTTCGAACCGATTAGCATATTCGCTTTAAAGGCGAACTCGGACGATATGATGTTGATCTTAAAGTGCGAACGTGCAAATCCCAGGGGGAGAAAACAACTGATAATTAATACAACCGTTTCATGCGCATGATGGATTTGTGGAACCGGTATTAAACTCTAAGACTGCAAGTCAACCTCTCGGAAGAATTTTATCTTTTTTATAATATACTGGCGGCATGAAGAATATTTCAGATGCATAAATATATAGGCAAAGCAGCATTAACGATAAAGACACGGAGGACTGGAATGGCCATTTCTGACTTATTAGCCGCCGAGATGTGGGAGACCTGGGGCTCGATTCGGCGAGCAGTTGGTTTGAAGTGCAATGCCTTAATCACGGGGCCACGGGATCGTTGTCCTGCTGGCTGCGATCGGGTATGCTAACAATGGTAGACGGGGGCGTGCTCCGATCGCGTTACGGGACTCAGTCGTCTCGTTGCATACCCTAATGACGGTTAACAAGCCAGAAATGGTCATGCCAGTTTCCCTTGTCTTTGTCGGTGTTGCCATTCCGTCTCTAGCCCACAGGGCTGTGCGGCTGCTGGTTGGGCTTGAGAGAGAGCCCGTAAGGGGCAACGGGACGAGTGAGCTCAGTACATACGATCAGTGAGCGCCCATCTACCATTGTATATTTCAGAAGGCAAAATAAGCCCGAAACAGAACTGTATCAGTCTACCCGCATTCTCTGTCGTCCCTCCTTGCTGCTATTATGACTTGGACGACTTCGGCCTGGTAATTGGTTGCCTGTCCGTGACCCCTGCCACCCATACGGAGCTTGTTTGCTTCGTGAAGCCAATAGATCAGTGTGCGCCCATTCCTGATTGAATATATAGACATATATACATATATATACATCCGATTATTTGTGTTAGAGTAGTATTTTCGTAGACTATTGAGAGAAAATTGCAGAGCCGCCTCTGGGGCCAACCTTCAAAACACTCTAAACACTTGGATCGCAAACAGCATGCTTTATGGAAATAACCACACTACCGGCAGTTCTACTCGTTTGTGGCCGACCATTTCGCGTCTACCTCGCGAGCTTAATTGTTCTCAACTCAAATGCTCCTTACACTTTTGGGGTCGGTATAAAAACTGGCCCTGACATTGATCTCCATGTCCTTCCTATCGATAATTTGCAAAGGTACTAGCTTAAAAAAGCATGCAAACGGATTTGGAACTAATCATTAGTGATAAGGTGATAGAACCTTACGCAAAAGTGTGCCAAATCTCTATGCGAAACGCCTACAGCTTTATACCTATTTAGTATTTGGCAATGAATCAGCGAACATGGGACAAACGTGCCGGCTCATTCAATCTCCGCGTCATGGTTACGTCGGCAACCAAAACTGCGTCGGGACGCAGAACACAGGCTGGTGCAAAAGTGCAGATGTAACGGTGGTTCTCGCACTAGTTGTCGCTGAACCGGTCAGAGATCGCGGCGACGAATGTCATCTACCCGGAAAAGGCCACGAGTTAGCGCTAAAGCATGACATTCAAGGTGATGTGATGCGTGTCTGTGTGGTTGCGACAAGGTGACTTAGGTTGTTCAATTTTCCCGCATTCCTGCGTCACAACGACAAAAAAAGAGTCAACTATAGCAAATTTTGTTTTCAGGCCTTTGGCGAGCGGCAAACAGTCAGGCGCTTGAAAAGAGGGAACGAAAGTTACGACGACTCTGTAAACTACTTCTTGCACCGCCTTGTTGAAGCATTTTACCGTTTTTGTGCTGCCTGTGACGCGAGGTAATATTCGACAGGTCCATGCTAATGCGGATGGAAAAGAAGAAATCCAGATGGCGGATCAGATTACTACGCACAAGAAAACCAAACTGATGTCTATCAATGTAGCACATATGCAAGGGACGCTTGGATTAGGATTACTAAAATCATCCATTAAAAATTCCCCCAAGAGGAAGAGAAAGTAGGATTAGAAGTAGAAATTGGGGGCGTGAGCTTAAAACCAGCAAGATTAAGTAAACAGTAACTTCGCCATCCGTTATCATTGGGGTATAAGCTGTAACGTTATCAGGTGGTTTACGTCGCTTTGGGCATGATTAATGGCTGAGTGAGCTAACTCATTCCGCATACTTCAATAGAGTTAAGAGGCATTCTAGTAAACTCTAGTACTAAATTAACACTGTGGCGGACATAGTCCTACTCCTTTTAATTTAGTAGGCATTCCCCTCCCAAGGGTCGACAGTCATTGATATACACTCATTGCGGGCGACTTTGTTTTGCCCGGGGGTTTCGCTCGAGATTCTGCACAGGTACTACCGCGATCGAGAAAGGTCGACGAAGAAGACCAGAAAGTTCATACAATCAGAACGTATTGCGCTCGATGACAGTGCACATAAGGTGGACCCGTGGGCAAAATCCCACATTGTAAACGCGAATGCTCGACAACCTAATAATTCACGTTCAGGTTTCAGGTTCCAAGTGGCCTGGAGTTGTGGATTGGTTGTCTGAGCTGATGTCGACGATGTCCGATGATTCAATGACCATACATTTGGAAGAACCTACTGGCATCATAAACAACAATGGATTCGCCGATTTCGAGCATCATCGTTTAGGCAATCCTGCAACGGTTACTGTCGCTGGCCTTCCAACACCACAGACCGATTTTCTGCCTGTGGTATTTACCGGGACCAACTACTGACGTTCAAAGAGCGTCTTAATGCGGTCTTCGCGGACATAAAATTTACGGTGGCGGGGAAAGAGAACAACTAGCTAAACTTACTGGATGCGCTCGTATTTCGCAAAGATTATGGTGGCCTAAAGACCAAAGCGTTTAGGAAAGCGAAAAATGCGACGCAACTACCGAACGTCAACAGGAACTATCCAATCAACCAAAAAAAAGTTGTGTAGGGACGCTCTATCGGCGTGTTGAAACGTACTGCAGTGAGCCGAAAGACAAGATTGCCGAACTACAATACCATCGACGGGAGTTCAAAGCCAATGGCTACTCCCACAAATTCGTCAACCGGTGCATACGCAAAGGGGACGGAAGGCAAAACCGCCAGGATTTCAAATTTTGGCAAGCGCCTCCGTATGTCAAGAATGTTTCGGAAGCTGTCGGCCGCCTTCTAGCACCACTTGGGGTTGGAGTTGCACAAAGACCGGAAGCAACTATTAGGCGTCAGATATCGAAACTAAAAGATCCATTACCACGGCAAGAAACGTCTGGATTCGATTGTCGAATTTGGTGCAGTTGCGGACAAAGCAACTACGTCAGAGAAACCGGAAGACTGATTCGAACGCGAATGGCCGATCACGCTGCAACCGTGCGGGGAGATGACGCCAGCTCTCAAGTTGCGGCTCATTCGATGAGATCTGACCACACATTCAAATTCAACGAGGCCGAAATTTTCGCAAGAGGTGACAACCGCGTGAGCCAGAGCTGCTCGAGTCATTGTTCACGGGCCCGTAGTCTATAAACAACTACAACGAACTTCCCCTTCCATACTCGGTGCTGCGACTTCGCTCAGGCGGAGTCATTAGCCACGTGAGGAGCACACATGTGGACTCTGTTCCCAACGCCGGGGTCGGTTGACCAGATGGTCAAGCAATCATCACACCAACATCCGACACACGTAATGAAATTGCATCAATTAACGTCGCGAATGTCGGCCACCAAACAACCATCACACCAAGTGCAACAATCCCTGATGAAGGGGGGAGCCTTGAATTTCCATAGATTTGCAGTAATGTTTTGACCTCATGCTATAAATACCGCAACCCTTTGTTCATAAACTACCGAGATCCCTGATTACGTGTTCGGGTGGGTCTCCAGAACATCAAGCAAATCAAGTTCCTGTCCCAGCGATCGTGCCTCCTTTTTCAGGACTGCTTCCTGGGTCTCGTCTCTTCGCCATTATTGGCAAACGGTAAGATGTTCACCGACACCCTGGAGGAGGTCTTCAGTCGCAATGGTATTTACCAGCAGTAAATGGAAACCATAATGTTGTACGATGATGCCCCTATCTACCATAGCTTGGAGGTATGACTATTTTAAAATTTACGAATGTAATCTATTTATAGACCATGCTTACCCTCTGTGGCTTAGGCCTGGAAAGCATTTCAATTCGTCAATCCCATCAAAAATCCCCTTGGACTGGTCAACTGAAGCGGGAACAGGGTACGAAAACAATTTTCAAAACAGCAGCAACTCGGCAACGTGAGCAATTGACTTCATGGTCTATTGTTACTTGACATGAAGCCCGAGCAATGAATATTCAAATTGTCTCGTGAGCATCGTCTGATTTGCTGATGCTGGTCTCTTCGAAGATGAACGCCTTACACGAGTATGAAATATGAGACTGCCAATCAAATGGTTCCGGTAATCAACCAATAGCTTCATTTCTTACTCAGACAAATATTTAAGGCTCGGATATAATGGACAACAGATAAGTACGAAGTGCTATGGAATAAGAAGTATTAAATAAAAAGTTAGAAAATATTGTGACTTATCAGGATAAGCAGATGCACGTTCACCAACTCGAAGCAATACCTGCTCCAGGCAGTCTGAGGGGACGACAACTGGATCAGATTGTTTTTCGAGGTCAGGGAGGTTGAGGCAGCAAATCAACTGTTGTCCGTTTCCTGGCACTAAGTCTGACATTCTGCTTCAAGATATTCTCGAATTCTCAAACACATGAAGTTCCTCTTAGTTAAAGCTCATGCCTCGTTAACGTGCGGCACTGACATCGAAATCAGTCAAGGGTGATCCTTTTTAAATTACCTCGTAAGAGGAATTAAAAAGTTTTACTATTTATGACTGTAAAAAAGCGCATCTGTTAGAATTACCTTGAGAGTAATCGCATAGGAAGCGACCTGGTATGCTGCTTGCTGACGTCAAAATCACGTAAAAATTAAACTAATTAATGTGTACGGAAACCGCGAAAGACCCGTAGCTGGCTCACATTACTAGGGGGGGGGGAGAGAATTACGCGCTCTGGGTGCCAACTTCACCACCAAAGAGCAATCGCTCACGCACGCAGACCTACAGCCAAGAACAGCACTGACGCGTTATCTTAAATACGAAAGTACTCAGTTGTGTCGCTGGAATCTTCATACGGGAGGAAATAGTAAAGGTTCCGACAAATTTGAAAATGACAAGTCGGCTTACATACCGCTACTATGGCGAGTAATGCCAATTCAAGATCTAGGCAGAAGTTTAACCCGAGAAGATCGGGCAGGCACATTCGCCATACAGAACTCGTTAATAATAAGTCAACGGGTGGAGAAAGTGCCATTAGAATCTCAGAAAGTAGCGATCGTTTAGTCAGAAATCTATTAGAAAAACAGGTGACAATGCAGCTCAGCGGTCTGCAGTGAAAGGTCAGAGATTTTAGGCAAAAGCGTTTTTTGCCAAGGAGGTACAGGTATCTTAAAAAACCTTTGGATAAAGCTCTTGCGATATTGAAGAAGGAGACACGATCGCTGGGACAAGAGCTTTATTAGCCTGACCTTTCGGATTCCTGCTCGAACCCATCATCGGAGACAAAAAAGCAGATATGATTTTGTCTCTAATGCTGCGTTCGAGCAGGACTCCGAAACGTCAGCCTAAGAAAGATGTTGTCCCCGCGATTGTGTCTCCTTCTTCAAGACTACTTCCTGGGACTCGTCTCTTCGCTTCTATGGGCTCTTACGATATGTTTGCTCGCATCAACTCGAGCCGTAAAACGCGGCAGTTTTACTGTCGCAAGCAACGACATCCGCCGTGGGCCCCGTAGTAGCGGCGGAACCGGTGATTTGCGCGTGAATTACAATGAGGCCGGCTTGCGTAGCACCTACTGCACCCTCTCACCTTAGGTGGCAACAGTGCCAGGATGGCGGAGATGGGCGTGGGCTCACTGATCGACGAATGTAAGCAGTCCGTCTGCGCGTGCCACGCACGACCTGTTCACCGCACCTTGCAATGGGAATCTGAAGGGATGGTCCAAGTACCACACGAGTGAGCACGCCACAGAAGTCCTCAAGGGGACCTGCCAACCTTCATAGTCACGACTTTTGGCGTGTCAGACCTATAACATTCATGAAGGCCCTGGTTTGCCGCAGGGCTGGATTTCCCTACTCTCCCCTCCCCCGCATGCGCCAGCCGATTTTTGAATCGTATCAACCAGACCCTTAGTTGAACAGAAAAATCTTTTTATCAAGTAGCTGGAAGTATCTTAAAGCAAAATGTCTGAAACAGAGCTCTTGTGACAGGTCTGTAACATAATAAGCACGACCCTTGTATGTAACGGGACAACCAACAACATAAGACGAAAGTCATTAGGCTAACGCATTGTCAATTCATGGTAGACTTTCAAAGTTTGAAACAGATAAGGATTTTGTGAGCACTGCGAGTATAAAATTGACCGACCTATGTGAGTACGAATTAATCATCGATTTTGCAAACATGCTGGTATACATTTTTGAGATGCGTACCAACGAGACCGTTTTAGGGAAATTGACGGTCAGACTACTTTGAGGCCTAACTGAACCGTCATGTTGATTCGACAGTCCCGCATCAAGCCACACGAGGGCATTTTCAGCCAACGTCTTCACCTGCCGGTCAAAACGTCTGACAGCGTGTGCCAATCCTGTGACAGCAAACCGTGGCCATCACAACCTGGCAATTCCCTGACACCCGGTTTCCTGCCGAAAGCTGCGCTTATGCTTCCGCTGTGTAGTGGGCATGGCTGCTCAGTTATCCTCGTCCTTCTGACCTCTGTTGGGTGTTGTTGTTGGTCAAAAAATCTGGTCATTTGTTGTGTGGACCAGGGGCTGTGGAGTGAAACGCCAAGATGAGAGCTCGGTCGTGCTATTTACCTCCGCCCTCCCCGCATTCTTGACACCGTCTTGACACCGGGTCCAGGTGGGAAATGAGAAAGAGAGTGTGCGGTAGATGCTGCGCAAGTCGACCATCAGTATTGATTAGGTCACGCACAAGTCAATGTGCCTGCTGTACTTTGCTGTGTAGCACACGGTGGACAACGTCGGAATCGGCGGCTGATATCCACCTGCCGTTGGGTGGTCAAAAGCAATTGCAAATGCTGCTGTTATGTTGTTGCCTTCTGACAATGGACTTCCATGCCAGTAGGGAAGCTGGGATAAATAAACTCCGCATGTGGGGACTACGATTTCAATCGTCTTCCACTGAGCATTACTTACGTGAGCCTCAAATGTTTACTTTTAATTGTAACTATTTACATCTCAGTCTGACGAACAACTGTGTTCAGCGGGATCAAGCCAACTGCGGCAGACATGCGTCCCACTGGCTCGAATTTCTTGGATTTTGAAACTCCCCTGCCTGCTCGACGGTTGAACACTTATGACCGTTTTTTTATAATAAATATATGGAGGTCTGATTTCTACTAAGCGAAAAATCGAGCTGTAGAATGTCGGATGATCGACGAAAATATCACAGCATAAATGGCATAGTGAAATTAGAAGGGCAATTTTCAAAGTCACAGAAAGCCCTGATACGCTTACTGTCGAATGAAAAAAGTGTTTGGAGACCTTTCCTAAGCGCCGGGTTGCATATCTGTTAGTGTGCAGAGAATATCATAGAGAAGAGCGGCCAGTCAAAACGTTATTTTTTCTGCAAGTTTAAGAATGCTGTATTTTGACTTAGGCTTGCAAATGTTGGACACAAAGCATGTACCAAAGGGCCTAGGAGGTTTCCTGGAATTTCTGTGCATACCTTCAAGTCAGAGCTATGTTGCAGTGGAGATCAGGCATGCGTTAAGAGCCGGCGAGAGAGATTCCACTATAAGAAAGTTACTGCTTAAAAGGTGGAATGATTCCAGTTACCTTTATAATATGTAACTGCATGTCCCATGAACAGTGCATGAAAATATAAACTTATGTACTACTCCTATCACATACGGTCAGTGACCGATTTCATTAAATGTTAACTGTATTATGAAATACATTTTCGACTAGGAAGGCTCACTTAGATGGAATACTACTGAATATTTTTCGGCATAATGCTGTAATATGTCAGGCCCGCCCATAAGTTGACTCTCAAATGGACAAATCGGCTTCTTTCAGTTACTGTACTCATTAACAAGTGACTAAGTAGTGTGCATTTTTCCTAATGATTTTTGATGTACTTATAAATTCAAATACATTTTTTTAGACGGCCTCCATAAAAAACATCCCTTATTGCGCTCATTTAGTAGGCAATCACGCCTTACTTACATTTTATACTCGAAAAAGTGGAATCGTGCAGTTTATGAATGTTTGTAAGTCCAGAATAACTTTGAGCTGAATCTGCTCTCCCAGTTGCATTTAAGCTATTCAGTCGGGCAGTTGCATAACTTCAGCGCTAGGAAAAACATATTTTCTTTCAGCCACCAAAAAGATACTTCATGTGGCTCGTGAAAATTTGCGACGGCTGTAGACTCTGTTGTATATTTTATGGGAAGCGTTACTAAACATACATATAGGATGCCACGTGAATGGATATTGCATGGCTTTCAAAAATCTGACAATCAGTTACTATTTAAAACCCAAGAACGCTTCTCTTCGACTAAAAAGTGTGCAGAACACGTGATTTTCTACTAATTAAGTGTAAGAAAGAATATTTTTACAGGCGTTTTCTACAATATATATATTTGAATTTAAAAGGGTATCGAAAATAAATTTTAAAAAAACACATTATTCAATTAGCCATTTTTTATGTGCAGTAGTTGCACGCGGCATATAAAACTCAACATCCTGACGTGCCCAAAATATCACGACCTTTTGCCACAAGAAACTCCATAATACAATCTCACTTAAGTAATCTGTCTTAGTCGAATATTCATTTCAGAATTCTGGATCGGTCATTGACTGTATGTTACAGGAGAAGCATAGGATGTTTTTGGCATAAATACCCAATTCTATCCAGAAACTTTTACAAACAAGCAGACCATTACAGGCCGGAGCTGCGCGTTTGTGTGGATTTTAAAATTTTTAACTTGAATATGAGTGGATTTGTGTGGCACAAAACATAGCAATAACGTTACCCAAAAGCCGTTAACGCAGATAAGGGGTACGGTGACATAAAGTAAATTTTCGCGGTTATATCGATCGACAAGGATAAGAGGGCGCCTCCGTTCTGATGTGAATATTGAGCAGATACCGAGATTAGCAGTGTAACACCGATTTTCAACTGACAGAATGCCCGTAACCGACCTACAATTATCATTTATTCGTCAGACGCTAAAAAATACCATTATGTGCCCAGCCAAGACTATTCATACAGCGCCTCTACCAGCGATCGCTTTGCGTAGTCAGGCAAGCGATGAAAGAATTTGGTCTTCACGTGCTCGAGCTCATGTAAAAAAATCAGTTTTTTATCCAGCACGAAATTGATTAGAGTTTTTTTTATCCGTGTGTTGATCGCCTGCCTTCATTTTAAAGGGCATGCAAGGCTGTGATGATATTTTATTTTTACATAAGCCTACGAAGGGAGCCCAGGTGGTGAAGTGTGGGAAGAAGTACCCACGCAAATACACACCTTTTAAACCACCCATGCTTGGTAATTGTCCACGGTAGGGAGCAGTCCATCTTGGGATCAGCAAAGGCAACTGTCCACGCTGCCCTCGGTTACATCGGTATTTAACAACGCCTAATAGACAGCGTACTTTTGTGGGATGGTGTTCCGTTCACTGTAGAGGAAATGAGGGATTCCAGCAACGCTAACCACAAAAAACTCGCCTTGTTACACAATCACATGCCATTCTGTCTGAACCATTGGAACTAGCTGTATGCCTGCAAGCAGCTCGTACCTCAATTGTACTGTACACTTTGGTGTGCTTGCCAAAAGGGACTAGGAAGTAGGTTTTAATGAAAGAAAATTTGTCCTTTTTGCTTAATAAGTAAATTGAACGTAGCCCAACTAACATGCCGGTTTTTCGGTGAATTGAACGCTAGGTGCTTACAATTTTACGTTAGTTATTATTCGGCATTATTCCGTCCGTTCGATAAACTTCCATTTATTATGCCCCGTCAGAATTTATCTTTAGGCGGTCAACTGAAGTGTTTTGTTTTTGCAATTTTTATTGGTTTCCAATTTCTTTATTTCTAACTTGCTAAATCGAATAGTGTGCTACAGGGATTGGCATCAAAAATTTACGGCGTTTCATGAGATGTCTAGCACTGGATATGATACCTAGGGAGGGCAGATCTTTAGTCTGAATGCCAGTTGATAATGGCCGGACATTTAAAAGCATCCTAGTTTTCATATTGTTTTGTGGTTCACAAACTAGATCCTGTGCGCATTGCCTTGTTTAATTTCCGGGGAAATTAATGCTCGAACTTGGAGTAAGTCCTTCGGAAGCAACCTTTTCAGGCACGGTCCAAAAGTTGATATGAATGTTTGGGCTGAAATCCATCAGCTACTGCGGCATAACCATCAATCAGCAGTAAACAATTGTGTAATTATTTATCGTACCGACAACACAGGTACTAGCTAAAAGCCCCAGCCACGCGTGTTTCGCCGATCACGTTCGCACAGTAGTTTCCTCGGAACGTGAATAAGGCAGGGTAAAATTGGAGTTCACATTACCAGAAAATACACGGGGAAGGCTCGGGGATCCGTTGATGAGCCGAACTCATCGCAGCTGCGTCGGGCAGCGACACAAGATCGGCGAAACACGTGTGTCTGGGGCTTTTAGCTAAAACCTGTGTTGTCAGTACGGTAAATAAATACACAATACTGCGCGTCTTCTCTCAAGCATGTTCACTTACTTTCATAAAGCTGCAAATGGAGCTCTCGATCGCAGTTTAGTCAATAAGGCAGACATTAAGGATGTTGGATGTCATAAGAGCGACATCACTGAAACTCTAGGTACTCATGTATTTAAAGCACCATGGTCATAGTTCGAAACATCTGACATTAGTGCAATAACTACTGGGCATTATCTGAAGGGTTGCATCCCTTAACATTCCTGGCATACCTGCTTGTCCAGAATTGTGGGACTCTTGATTGGTTGTATGAAGCTGGTGTGTTCAGAGGAGGTCGGAGAAGGCTGGACCACAGCAGCTACATTGTAGTCCAACTTCGTGGTCCAAGGGGACGGTGAATTACTGTGCACGGGACTGGAGAGCGTATCTGAAATAACAGCTCGAGAAGGTGACGGCCCGAATACGATGTTAAAATTCGAATTTTTCAACTCCGTCATCTTCAATGCCTACAAACAAAAAGAAAAAACACAAAAATGGTAGTTCTGCAGACAAGACTAACTCCCCAGCTCTTCTTGACAAAGAGGTGAATTTCACGGAAATACACCTCATGGGAATTAGATGTTGTGTCCTTCAAGAAGCCTGGCTTTTGTGTTAGTGAATATCGGATTCGGACTCGACTACCCCTCATGCTCTGTGCTGATAGAAACACTCATTTTCTTGTATGCTGTCAAATGCACAGTTACGCCCTTTTATGAATCTTTTCATATAAGCCACCAGGAGAAAGTATCATAGCTTCCATCACTGTCTAGATGTTCGTGGCAAACCGCCAGATGAAACGACAGTTCGACTCTCGCACGCAACGACGTCCACAGGGGGCCCCACGGAACAGACACAGTACCGGGAACTTGCGCGTGAAGTAATTTATTGTAGAGCAGAATTGCGCAACGTCTATCGCTCTTCTCACCCACCTTGCTCCGATGGCAGGACAGTGACGGGATGACCGAAGTTGGGCTCTGGTGCGGTGGCTGGCGAAGTTAGACATTCCATCTACGCGTACCACACACAACCTGAGCCGCACGGCACGTGCCAGGGCTTTTATAAAGGCGCCTCAGATCTCATGCGTTGAGACCCATAAAAGTCCCGTTAAGAACGAATCAATGCAGCCTGACCCTCAGTTCTGAGTTATTCCGTCAGTTGGTGGCCTTCCAAGCCACGACTCTTAGGGCGCGTCGTGAGAGGTTAAAGCGCGCCAGATTTACTGTAGCGAGGAGTACGCTGATCTGCCGTGGAGAAAGATTCCCCAGTGACAGTCTCACTCCGTCCTCGCTCGCCCGACCGTCACAGGCGGGGTCGTCCACTTTGTGTCCCAGGGAGCGGGTACTGTACCGGTGACCTAGATGATAGTTTGTAATGGGGCAGACTTGCGCAGCATCTGCTGCACCCCTGCTTCCCTGCTCCGATGGCACTGTTAGGAATTCCGGAGGTGGGTGCGAACACAATGGTTAAAAAATTTAAGCGGCCCATCTACACGGGCCACGACCAAGCCGGTCTTCACTACTTGTGCCAGGCTCGGGTCTCGAATGCGTAAGAGTGTCGAAGGGGCCCACGCACGGGGGAGTCGCTCTCAGTCCTGAGTAGGTACGAGTTATGCTGTCGTTTGGCGACCTTCGAAGCCCCGACTCGTAGAGCCTCGTGACAGATTCGAACGCGTCAGATTTATTTTGACCGAGGGATGAACGGATTTGATGTGAGGAGGAATTTCTCAACGTCGGTCTTACATTCTTCGTTGGCTGTCTGGGCCTGTCCACTAGCTAGTGATGGAAGTGGACGCAGTCGTTAACGCGGCGTGACGGCCGACGACTAAGGTGCACCACCACACGCCTGAGCAGATGCTCTGTAAGCGCATGGCGTAAATCAGTCTAACTCCCGTTTTGGACCCGCGCAACTAGAGGGCTAACGAGAGACGCGATAAGCAAATGGAAGAGCAGTCAAAAACGATGCTGTCTGTACTTAACGGTCATTGAACCCAAAACGGACAGCACGGTAGGTGGGGTGGACCAGCTCAGAGGTTAGATCGGAGTCTGGGAGGTGTTGTCGGGAGTGCGCACCCCTAACAAATGACGACAGTGGAGGCGTGACGGCAGACCATGTGCAGGCTAACGGAACTCCAATCAGGATCCGTGCAGACCCCTCCCTATATTGTGGTACAAATCCTGGCCAAGTGTCTGCTGTGGACCAGGGCGTGTGGTCGAATGCCAAAATGTGGAGTTTTGCCGTGCCAGAAACCTGCACTCTCTCTCGTATCCGGTCTTCTTGATTTGTTTTGACACCGCGTCCAGGTGAGGTGGGAGGACTGAGTGCCATAGATGCTTCTCAAGTCTACCATCACTACAAACTACTCCAAGAGTAAGTCGCAGTTCGTGCTCTTGTGCCGTTTTGGAACAGGCGGTGGACACTATCGGTCACGACGATGGAGCTTAACGGATATGTGCCAGTTCATTTGGGTGAAGTTAACCTCAGGAGTTAGAACTGCTTAACATTGGACTGAGCGCAAAAAGCTACCCGTCGGTTGTCAAGATGTAAAACTGCAGTTAACTCCCAAGAACTGGACGCGAACGTCCAGGCCAAATGCAGTCATGTTCAGTGGATGTCCCACGTTTTCGATCTTAAAAGTAACGGCAGTATGCGTTATATAGAGGAGTTGCTTATATCCTTCTCCCAACATATGTCCCAGAAAAAGGCCAGGCTTGCGCGGCCGCATGGTGTGATAACTGTAGTTCACAGTTTTTTATACAGTGGGGAAGGGGGCAACCAATGATTTATGGTTTGAAATACAACAAAAACGCTACGGACCACGATGTTTGTTTCGGTGACATCGAAGCCGTTAAGACGGATAGACCTTTATGTAGGCTAAGAAACTGAGAGGCATATAGACACATGAGCACATAAGAGCATACTTAGTGACTTTTTTGACAACATCTGTTCACTGCGTCGCCCTGACCTGGTGCGCAGAATGATCGGCTGACGAGGGTCAGCAGGTCTGATACGTCCCCCACGGTTTCCATTCTCTTTTTCGGTTTTATTTTTTAGAGTTTACACTACTTATAAGATAGTCCTTATCTCGGATTAAGTAAACACACCGAGAGACAGGTTCATGCACTTATCTGCACATAACATTTGTGCTCGTTTAAACTGTAGATAAGAAGACTGAGAAAATAATACTAAGTACTACTGATGTGTAAAGCTTTCTCAATGTCATTTAGGACTGATACTTCAAGTCAACCCACTTTTAGAGTAAAATACGACTTAATACTGAGGTTCCTTTGAAGACCCAGTGGCCGTTATTCCGTTTTAAAAGAGTATT